TTGTCAATTGCTTTACCAATAAAAATGAGCCGCTGAGATAAAAATGTTTGCCTTGACCGAGTATTGATTTTCAGGTCCTATTTCATGAAGAATAACTGTTGCAATAATTCAGAGGCTCTGGAGCAATGTGAGAGGAAACTACCATGTTTTAATTTCACCTTGCTACGGTTAATTTTACCTGCTTAAAAGTGAAGAATCTTGATAATATTTGTGAGATGTTATCTTTCCGAGTTTTATTTTGCATTTTATTCATATTTCAAGGATATATTTATAAACTCCTGAAAATCAAATTAAATTGTTATGTGAAATCTGAATGTTTATAATGTCCATGCATTATGAGATACCATGTTACCACCACAAGTGGTGACATTTTGTTGTAGTCTCCAGCTTTTATGTTGATGATGTTCGGCAGTTGGGTGTTCTGCAGTTAGTTTTTGGCAGCCGATGTCCAGCATCTGTAACAAATGACAGGTTGTGACATTTTGCATGCCTCGTCTTTTGACACAGAGGTATTCAGCAATAGTTCATTTCATAACTATTCATTGATCTTATAATGTCAATAATTATATGCAATTCTTTATTTGGATTCTTCTAACATGAAAATTAATGATGAAAACAATAGCCCATTCATTTCCATCGATAAGGCCTGACATTGTTTACTTACAGTGTTAGGGAAACATTAGAGTACTTTATGTTAAATGAATTGTGCTGACACGGATTCATCCTCATTTTCAAGGGATCAGATTATCCCAAAATTATTATAGGTAGAACTTATCTGATAAAATATATGTTATGAAAAAACAAATCTCAGCAAAATGGTACAGATCATTTTGTACAATATCATTTTGCAAGTTATTTTGACATAGAGGTTTTACAATCGCCTATTGTTTGGTTTGAAACACATGAAATAAACTGTAAATGCAATCGACTTGAGTAATAAAACATATCAATTTTGATATCATACATTGATCTATATGATGACAAATGTGTTTTTAGTATAATGCTATCTATTATATCGGATTATAAGGTTACATCTGGTGTCGCCTTTGTGGATTAGTTTTTAAAAACAACACTTGAGCGGTTGCTGTGACATCATCGATTCTAAGAAATCAATGAAGCCAAATCATAGCTTAGTATGACATCATTGATCATATGAGGTTTTAATGCAGAAAACGGCATTTTAATAGCATTTGGTCTTTGAATATCAGTAGGGGGAAACAGGAATAGTAACTCACTAACTCATTGGTTTATAATCTACAATCACTCATTTTAACAAAAGTATGGATAGAAAATGTGCATATAACAGAACAAAAAAGTGCATATAACAGAACAAAGATCATGATACATCATTATTATGTTTATTGTATTGGCTATGTTTGATCACAACTCTCCCATGATATGTCCGTTTCACAGTTGCCAAAAAACAGCTGTTAAAAACAATGGAAAAACACCGGTTATCAAATGCTATAACTGCATCATTTTTATTAAACGAATTAGTCATGAACTTGAAAGTTGTTCAATCAATGTTCAGCAGCTGATTAATGAAGTGCCTCATTGATTTTTCAAATCGAGCAAGTGTTGATGACTTAACTGCATACTGTTGTGAATACATTGGCTGCCACTTTGCTCATTGATTGCAATATTAGACCATATTTATCAAATCAATTATTGTTAAGTGAGTCATGTCCTGATGTCGTTTTTATGTTGCATCAGGTATATGGTATCATTACCATAAATACCATGACCTATACTGCAATATTTTTCATACTAGGTAGTCTTATGTGAAGTCCCTGTGGTACATATATCCAAATTCTGTATTGCATCAGTATTTTACACATTACCTTATTAAGTCTTACATCAAATCATCATATTATACATTTTGCCCAATATTTTACATGTATGGTATTTCCCTTGCAGTTTTTATGTCTACAACAGAAGTTGTGACATATTGTTATAGTGTCCAACTTTCTTGTAGATGATGTTCGGTGGTTGATGTTTGGCATCAGTATTTGTAACAAATGGTAGATGCACATTTTGCATGTTAATGCCTTGTTTTGTTTGGCTGTGTTTAGAGCCACCATTTTTGTGACTGGCATTCAAAGCTGAGTGGTGTTTGTTGATGGTGATCTTTGGTAATCCTGATTTGGCCTGTTCGTGCCATAATAATTTTGCCATCAAATCTCCAGAAAAAAACCTACCTGTGAGACTTAACAGATACAAGAGCAGACTAGGTCCAAGATATGATTAGGTTTTGGACATGGATAAATTACTTGGTGACTATTTTGTATTTTTGATAAAAAAAAGTGCAATGTTACTTATTCTGCTAAATTCTAATGACAAATACAATCTTTTAAATGATATAACTATATAACGCTTTTGATGTAGATTTCTGATAGGAATATCATATATGTTTTTCATAAATCCTAAACAGCATTGCATTGGTTTATAACATTTAATATCCCCATTGAGAAATTCATTATTATCAACATCAATAGCAATGTGGGATTGAGTGCTCAAGTTTCAGTGACACCCACATACATTTAGGCTAAAAAACAAAGGAATATGTCAAAAAGGATTACACTGAAATATTGATTTACAGAGGTGTTAGTTGACATATATTCTAAGTGAGAGTCATTATTACACATATGCTAACATACTTAGGTTAGATTTAAATAATGATAACAGTTGCTCTCGGGCAATTTATTTTTTTGTTATGTTATTATGTGATAGGATAAGAATTTAGTGATTTCTAAATGCATATTACCCATTTCTTACAGTTGAAGATAGGCCTTTGATCAGGCCTTAATCAGTCGGAATACTGAAAATTCAATTATTAAAATCAAGGTACCCTATAAAAAAAAACTACCTAATCAAAATAGCATTTACTGATTTTTTGTACTTCCATAAGTAACTTGGCATTTATTTATTATTAAGAAACTCTCATCAAAGACTATGACAGCTTCTTCTTGGGTCATTTCAATCTTATCTGTATATTTTTTCCTATTCAATGTCTAGGTTCTGATACTCATACCTTTTTATATCAAGGTCAACCTTTTGCGATGGTTTCCAACCTTTTACAATGGTCTTCAACCTTTTACAATGGTTTTCAACCTTTTACAATGGTCTTCAACCTTTTACAATGGTCTTCAACCTTTTACAATGGGCTCTTCAGCATTGAAGCAAATTGTTGGAAAATATTGAACCCACTTAAGAAAATAACCCCAGGATAACACTGTTGCTATAGGAATATTTCTTCTTTTTATTGATTAAAAAGGTAGGTGAGCTACCTGTTTAAAATACATGACATAAGTAAACATTTCATGATTGATAGATTTATATTCATAAAATTAAACATGTTTCCATGTAATACTTAAATGTGTAAATGTGCCCTATAAAATGCAGGTAAATAGAAATCAGGATATGATTGTTGTCTTTATTGTAGGTGGTTTAAATATGCAATATATCATTCGAAAACCCCTATTATTTAAGCTTGTGAATGAGTCATCATTTTGTAATGTATAACAGACAACAGAATATACCTCAAAACAGCTGTTTAAACATCAATCCATTTTTGTATTCTGCTTTAGTCCTACCTTCTATCTAGCAGTTCTATGTTTCTTGATTTCAAGTTTGTATCTCGCTCATTTTTTTACTCAATACTATCACTCTTTGAAAAAGTGATTTACTGTTGATAGGCGTGGATACATCTTTGGGTGCCTCGTGAATCTTATCATCAAAATTCCCCCCAAAAAATGCACTTAATTTGAAAGTTTTACAGATGCAAGAGTAAACTGGTACCAAATTCTAATACAGTTTTGGGCATGCTGGGTAAATACATGGTGGCCATTTTGAATTTATCAATAAAATGTTTTTATATTTATCATGGTATGTCTTGTTTTTATTACAATTAAACATAACCGCCATAACATTTTATGTGTGGATGATCAGCTGATCTGTATGTAAACAAAATTGCAGTTATATCCATGCAAATGTTAGAATTGTAATATTTATTGTTATTGTTTTTTTTATTATTTTATGTTATGATTGTGTGCTAGATAAAACCTAGCATTGCAATGATAAACAAGCATGATGGTTTCGTAAGTAAATGTTATGTTTCAGATATGATATCATATTGTTCTGATTTTTCTGATTGTTCTCTTTTATTGTATTGATTGTTCTGTTTTTGTTTTATCGATTGCTCGTTGAATTGTCATAATCAGATGGATTGAATTGTATCTTTAGTTTCTTTCTAGTGTCAAAATTAGAATTGTTATGGAGATTTATAAATTGATGAGTCATTTGAATTTCTGGTTTGTATTATTACTAGGAAAACTTATTCAATCACCTATTCTACAAAAACCGGATTGACTACATGTGAATTTACATACAGTATTTAAAAGCGTGTAGATTACTCCTGTTTATAAAATAATTGTTAGGAATATAATAGATGGTTAGTGTCAAAGTGACAAATAAATACTCTAGAGAAAATCTGGGCAAATAGAGATCAAAGACATGGCCTGGGATCATTGGATTTTACAAATTAGATAGATTGGGGCCACAGGCAAAGTGTTTTCCAAAATATGCCTGCTATTGAAGGTGGGATAATGTAGGAGGTTGTCGTCTGCCTTTGGATTATATCGTTCACATGATCAGTTAATATGCATAAGGTTGCATTTCAACTTCACTTATCATTTGAGCCATTCCATGTAACCACAGGATGTGGTGTTTTGTTTATGAGGCTGCAAAGACCTAATGTTCGTAATAATCAAATATTTTCAGTATTTTAGAAGCTTGAAGCCGGCTTTAGTGTTGGATAGATAACCTGAGGAACATATGGGAAAAGTAGAAATTCTAACAAATAGCTTCAAGATTCAAAAGAGTCAGAAGCTTTAATTATATATTGTAAGAGACTCTGAGCACATGTACTTTTAGCAACTGGCATGTCATTGTGCATTTACTCTCATACTGAAAATTAAATCATTTGATTTATATATTTCCAGATCAGATTAAAGTAGATGCTTATAGTCGCTGCCATATATTAAAGATAGGTGGAGACCCTGGTGCCGTGGGTTAACTGGAATAGGTGACTGCCTCGTAGTTAACCAGGCAACTGCCAAAGGGGATATTATCAGATCACTGCCCCATGGATCATCATATACGACCCTACACATAGGACCAACTTATATAGGACATGATGATTCTGGATTGACAACTCCATTGAAATAGGTAAGTTGTATATTTTGTACTGCATATCTCTGCTTTCTTTCGTGAATCTTGAGTGGCTGAAAAGAGGATGTCAAGACACCTCTATATTGAAAAAAGTATTTTTTTTTTTTTTTATTTCTTTTATCATTATATGTCATCACCACAATTGGTGACATATTGTTATAGTCTCAAACCTCTTGTGGATGGTGTTCTGCATTTGGTGGTTGGTGTTTGGCTTTCTGCAGTGGACATCTGAAACAAATGGTAGGTGGTGACATTTTGCGTGTTATCGCCTTGTTTAGTCATGTGATAGTCTCATAAGGTGTCCTTTACTGCGAAATCATGTCCTGTATGGACAATTCAGGGAAAAAATAGATCCCTTTCTCTAATTTTTTTTAATTTTGTAAATATTTTCTGTACATACTGATGAATTTAAAAAATCCTACTGGAAACATGTCTATTGGGTCTAAAATTATCTATTTGAGATGACACGCCGCGAAATTGAGATTACTAAGAACCATTCTTGACTGGATTAGTAGCATAAACTTAAAAACTTAAAAAAAGTATAATGCTTTCATTTATCAATCCATGAATAAGACAAAATGAATCAAACCATGTACTTTTAAAACAAATAAATTGAGGTTGTTACATTAGTCTGTGATCTGTTCACAAAATTTTTGTTTGTAAATACACTGGATGCCTTCTGAGACTATCGTTCAACTTAACTAGGAGCGGGATTTGATAAACGTGTGCCAAACTCAGTAGACATTAAGTATTTTTCTACATCATTGATCTATAGACAAGTTCAACTCTCGAAAGAATCAATAATTTAGACCTGGATTAAGCAAACTCGCAGCCAGACCACAAACATTCTAAAAAAAGTCAGGGTGATCACGACTTTAACATAGCAGAAGCAGAGAATATTAAATACTGACACCAATAAATATTAAAATACACAGAAGATGCTGTACTTTTATCGTACATCTGTAGTACCTCTTGTACACGGATAACTCGAGTGAAGAGCTTTTTGTGAAGAATACAGGCAGCTCTATTTGAAAAGAAAAATTAGCTGAGAAAATGAAATCAAGTCTCCATTTTAAGGTTGACAATGATATTGATATTCTCATAAAACTTAGTACACGCAGCCTTGCAATTAAAGCTATCATTCCTAACATTTGATTGATAAGTTCTTCGTGGAATCAGTCAGAAGGAAAAGAATTATGATTGTAAGTCATTTTATTGAACTTTGTGGTAAAGTAAGGATTCATTGGAGAGTTTTATTATTTTTGTCTTTTATTGAGACCAATGTCAGTATGACCATACCCATATATCCAAATTGAGTAATATATCATCCTTCTAAAGTTCCCAAAGTACTATTCTTCAAAGATGCCATCCGAAAACTCCACCATCTTATCCCCACGGTTAAATAAATTAGAAATTTTAGTGCTCCCTTTCTACCATTCTTCCGTCCTAATCCCAGTTGTCCTATGCTATCATTTCCAAGATGGTTCAAGTGCCATTGCATACAATTGGTCTAAGATTACCCAGATGTCATTGTCTCCAATAGATTCTTAAATGTTGTCCTGTCCAGGATGCTCGAAATGCTGTTGGATTTTAATGCCCCAAATGCCACGATTTCAAGATTCCTGAATGCTATTATCACCAGTTAATTTCCCTATATGTTCTAAGAGTTCCTGAATCCCATTCCTCTATTGGTTCTTTAAAATGCAATGGTTTCCAAGATTCACCACCCCATTGTCTCCCTCCAATGGTTCCCAAAATGTGATAGTTTCCAAGGTTGCCCAAATTGTTCCAATGGTTCCCTAAATGCATTGGTTTCCAAGATTGACCAAATCCCATTGTTTCCAATAGTTCCCTAAATGCATTGGTTTCCAAGATTGACCAAATCCCATTGTTTCCAATAGTTCCCTAAATGCATTGGTTTCCAAGATTGACCAAATCCCATTGTTTCCAATGGTTCCCTCAATACAATGGTTTCCAAGATTGATCAAACTCCATTGTTTCCGATCCAATGGATCCCTAAATGCTATGGTTTTCAAGGATGCCCAAATCCCATTGTTTCCAATAGTTCCCTAAATACAATGGTTTTCAAGATTGCCCAAATTCCATTGTTTCCAATGGTTCCCTAAATGTCATGGGCTCCAATATCATTTAGATGCTATTGTCTCTATTGGCTTCTTTAGTTTCATGGTTTTCAAGATTCTATGAATCCCATTGTTTCCAATTGTTCCCTAAAGGTCATACTTTTAAAGATTCCTTAACCTTTACCATGCTGCCTTATTTCAGCAAATATATCCCACGCATCTGACTTATTTTTCAAAAATGATATGCCTGGACTAAATAATTAATATCTCAATAACTACTGAATGAATCTGGATAAAATTTTCACAGAGGGAAGATACAGTGGCCTGGCTCATGAAAAAAATGTTCTCATGAATTTTTTCGTACATTAACACGACTGGGCATAAATATACCATGAATACTCCTCCGGAATCCGCCGCTCCGCCTCTTCGTCTGGTCAGAATCCAAATCTGAATTTGCAGCGATCGAATGTTCAATTTTTCAATTCAGAAAATATTCTAATTTCTATTTTCGATGACCGTTATCGGCTTCCAAGAGCCTAAAGAGCTCGAAATCGTAATCCATTTCCTCCACATTTTCGTTGTGATCGTATTTGTCCACCATTTTGTACGATTCGTTCACTAAAAACGACTAAAACACTGTTTAAATTGTTGAATTGAGAATTATTTTTCGAAATATCGCCATTTCTAGGTCAACAGGAAGTCATGTTAGGCACTGAATAAATCGGGCAATCTAATTGGACAATACGAATGGCGCGAAAAAGTAAAGTTTTTAAAAGTTTGAAATCGGGCGTACGGGTCCGCCAGCAGTTGTGAGAGACATTTTAGTCTCGGCGGACGAGTCCGCCGGCAGCACGCTAAAGGTTAAATCCCAATGTTTCTGATTGTTTTCTAAATCCCATGGTTTCCAAAATTCCCGAAATCCCATTGTCTCCAATGGTTCCCAAATGGCATTGTTTCCTAGGTATCAACATGAAACACTTCCTTTGCTCCAAAAAGAACATCCTTCTTAGGTTCCCTTGGAAATGTCAAATCGAACTATCAAGAAGCCAATAATCCATTTACTTGACTCAAATACTGTTGTTACAGTTTCAGCCAAATTTTATTGGCATATTTGCCCTTAAGGTCTGGCTGTTCTGTTAGAAAGCCATTTGTGTCAAAATGGTGGTCACTTTAGTGTTTATAGTCCCATGACTAGATGTTGGATGGTATTTTCTAAGCCCTTTCATTGTAGTTGTCTAGTTTTATCTCAAACGATCTATAATTCTAAAAATATGAACTATGGGGAATCATGTTAATGAAGATTTCCTGTCTAAGATCAATACTCCAGGATAATAAGCCCATCTTTGGTTGTATAGTGGCTCTGTTATGGTATAAAGGAAATATACACAGCAATAAGATCAAAATAGACGAACAATCTAAATTATAAAGGATGTACGTCATTGGTTTACACAATTCTAAATGCCACCAACTCAATCGAGCCAACTATGTTTGCGTACACCATTCATAAATAAGCCATTTATCCATTATCCTCTAACCTGTGGATCAGAAATAACTTAGGTGTTCAATTTCTCGCCAATTTACTGAACTATTTACATTCTTACCATTTCATTAGTCCATAATAGACTGGCTGGAATTATTTCTGATGGTTGGAGAAATACTATAGGGTTGGGCATATATAATGGCAGGGGTCTTAAACTAGGTATATTGTAAAATCAGATGTTTCTATCCAACTGAAGTTAAAATCTGTTTATAATAAAGTGAAACAGAAAGATGGTGATAAGTATCAGAATATTGCATGGCTTGTTGTAGCAGCATCTAATTATCCCACTGAACTTTGGATATAGAGAGGCTGTCTATCTGTCTGTCCATCCATCCATTTGTCCATTTGTTCATCTTTCCATTTATCTATTCATTTGTCTATTGGGTGATAACTTAAACACTGGTTGACAAATTGGTTCAAATCTTATAGGCTGATGCTTTATGGGCATGTGACTTCTGCTTGAGAATGAATTTTCAATATGGTCACTCAATTCAAAATGGCTGTCATTTTGGAAAAATATAAACCTTGATAACTTAAGTACCAGTTGACAGATTTAGTTCTAATTTTTATATGGTGCTTTAAGGACATAGGAGCTACTGAATTTCAAAATATCCACCATAATTTTTGATAACTACGTAAATACCAGCTCTAGAATTTGGTCCTAATCTTCATATGCCATACATGGGCATAGCTATTAATTTATAGGAAATGGGAAGTGCCATCTATATTATATAATCATTGAATCAGATGGCATACTAATTTTATCTCATTAGAATCCTATGTCTGAATAAGCATATGAAGTAACAAACTGTAAGTTAACATATGTTTTGTATAAATATAGATACCACTTCCTAACAGGTCTCATTAGAATAGTATTTCAGGGAAATTTAAGTCTGTCGAGTTTTGATTTCAATCTTTAATCAAACAAGCAGCTCACATGGCAGCATTTTGAGAATAATCATAAGTTTTGCACAGCTGGCTCACTTAAGGTAGATTCAGATTGAAGGAAAACTTTTTCAAAAATAATTACCAATTTCAGAATATTTTGACTCAACATTCCCCTCCTCAGAAAGCACATTTCTAATGACCTTTTTAATATCTATAGGTTTGCTCGATTCATTATACACTTATTTTCCTATGAGTATTGTACACTGTAGTTATGTTTTAGTTCTCATGATATTCCTTCTAATTCTAATCCGTTCAATTTTGCTTGGGATGGTAGTTTCCTCTTATCAGATTTCCTATAAAGCATGTTTATAGTTTGTCTCAGATTATTTAAATACCAAAGGAAGTGTATCATCTCAATAAGAAATTAACTTTGTGCAGTTGTTAAAACCATTACATAGTCAAACTCAGCTCCTATATATAGTCTAGAGTGTTTACATAAGCAGCTCGGTAGTAGACAAAACTATGGACATTCTCGGCCACGGGGCATTCCCAGAAAAACCCTTGGTATCATGTGAAAATCCGGGGCATTGTTAGACCCTTTAAAATATATATCAATGTATCTATAAAATGATGTGTCTAATTAATCATAAAAAACAAAAGATATTTTTGATCGTCCAACAATACCCTGTGTCCGACAATAGCCCTTAATGTCCTCTAAAGCAAATTACCGTTGATACACTGGTCCCATGTTTGATTCCCTACTTCAAAATATAAATATTGGAAAGTGTTACTTTGCTGTTTTAAGTTGATTGGATGGTGTTTGGTGGTTGGTGTTTTGTAGTTGGTGTTTAGCAGTCACTGTCTGTAACAAATGGCAGGTGGAGTAAAACCTGTGTTATCTAAATGCTACTGGGACCCGCCAAAAGTGTTTGGATTAGGAGGTGTTCATGTTTCAAGGTTTTTCCATTTGTAAGTCAACATGAGATTGAGAAAGTGTTCACATTAAGAGGTGTTCAGGTCAGGTTTTACTCTCTAGGTCAAGTATGAAATAACCATAAAGAGGATATATTTTGTTTATTGGGATTTGTAACTAGAGTTGCCTTTTCTACTTTTCCATGTTTTGTATCAAAAATGCCAAAATGTGCTGTTTTGATTACCCCATCATAACATAGTTTCATGAAACCATTGATAATGAAAATTGATTCTTGTAACCTTCCACATCATTTTATAGTTATACTTACCAATAACAGTGTTCTCCGTGTTGCAGTACTGAGTGGTGATGCTACCACTTTCATACAAGCAACACTCATATTGAAAATCACCACTTTTTCAAATGAGTACTCTAATTTTAGCTCTCTGTTTTAATAACCTCACAACTCATTTTGATCAACATTAACAACCACTCATTTAAAAAAAATATATAAGATTGAAACTTGATAATTCCAACTGAATACTGTAGATAGTATTTCACATACCATGATAATACACAAAGCCACAATAGAGATCCTACTAGCCCTATCTTTAACTGAGGTTTTGTCTTGGTTAATTTGCTTTTAATTCAGCCACCTCTAACCTTCATATATCTGTTATTGATACAAGATATGTGTTGCATGCAGCTGCAACGTCAGGCATGTGGGGTTCCTACTTGGGTGGAATCTGGAACACTGAATTCTGCATTATATTCCTTTATCGAGTCACGTTCAGTTAATCGCTACCCTGAGCATCTTGGGTACAGAGCCATGAACTAACTGAACTCTGAATAGAACAGAAATATACAATTTTGATATTGTTAAGATCTTAATGACACCACGCAGTTATTACAGCCTTTAATAGGAGTTTGAACATGATATAAATACCACATACTTATGAAAGCATAGAAAGCATAAAATTCAATTTGAAAGACATATTTCTCTATATTCTCATTCAAGGCACAATCAAAAGATTATCTTAAACTCAAAAAGTGAGATGAAGCTCTCTTTTAAGGAGGCAGGATCAAACTAGATCATTGATCCCATGTATTCTTATCAGCACCAAATCAATGATCCCTTTTTATTATTATTAAATTATCGCACTTTGAAAAAGTGCTATATTGTCGTCGTCTTGTGCTGTTGGGCGGGTGGGCGTGCGGGCGGGCGGGACATAAACAAAATCTTGTCATCAAATTTCCAGGATAACTGCTTACCTGTTCAACTTGAAATTTTTACAGATGCAAGAGCAGACTAGTACCAAGATCTGATTAGGTTAAGGGCATGCTGGGTAAACTATGTGGCGGCCATTTTGAATTTTTCAACAAATCTTGTCATCAAAATTCCAGGAAAACCACTTATCCGTTCAACTTGAAATTTTTACAGATGCAAGAGCAGACTATTGCCAAGATCTGATTAGGTTTTGGGTATGCTGGCTGAATTACATGGTGGCCATTTTGAATTTTTCAATTTGGCGGCCATTTTGAATTTTTCAACTTGCTCCAAATTGACCAGATTTTTTTTTAAAAACATCTACAAGTTCTCAGAAGTTCAAATCTGACCTTAGATTTCAGATTTGACCTTTCATTCACCTTCAGTGACCTTGAAAAGGTCAAAAAAGTTGATTTTCTAAATTGATATTTTGGATTTTAGATGCAAGAGCAGACTAGTAATTTCTGATTAGGTTTTGGCCATGCTGGGTAAATTGCATAGTGGCCAGTTTGCTCTTCAAAGTGCGATATTTATCACTGTGCTATGTATATACTACTTTAAACTTGAAATGGTAGCAATGCTTAAATTAGATTGCATACTTAGTAACATTTTACTTTTTTATTGAGAAACAAAAAATAATTCTTGGTTGATTTGTGCTATAATAAAAATATGGTAAAACTTGTCTTATCCAAACACCACTGTGATCAGCCAAAAAGTATTCAAATTAGGAGGTGTTCATATTTTGAGTTTTTATCGTACCTAATAAAGGTACGGTATTGTCATCAGCTTGACGGGCGGGCGGCGGGCGGGCGGCGTCTCACTTTTCAGCTTGTCTACAGGTTTCCAGCCAAACCATTTGACAGATTCATCTGAAATTTTCAGGAATGTTTCTACGTATCAAAGTTAAGAACTGTTAAGTTTTTGGGCATTCTGGGTAAATTTTAAGGTGGCCATTTTGGATTTTCCGTCCTAAAATCTTCACTTTCAAGACTTGTCTACAGGTTTCCAGCCAAACCATTTGACGGATTCATCTGAAATTTTCAGGAATGTTTCTACATATCAAAGTTAAGAACTGATTAGTTTTTGGGCATTCTGGGTAAATTTTAAGGTGGCCATTTTGGATTTTCCGTCCTAAAATCTTCACTTTCAAGACTTGTCTACAGGTTTCCAGCCAAACCATTTGATGGATTCATCTGAAATTTTCAGGGATGTTTCTACGTATCAAAGTTAAGAACTGATTAGTTTTTGGGCATTCTGGGTAAATTTTAAGGTGGCAATTTTGGATTTTCCATCCTAAATTCTTCACTGTCACACTGCTGTGTTTTAGGTACGATATTGTTCACGTCTGTGCCTTGTTTAACATGGAAGTCTATGAATTAAAAAATGGGTCTTAAAAGTGTTCAGATTGAGAGATTTTCATATTATATTAGAGTAGAGAGGTGAATGGATATACAGGTTTCACTACGTGATCTTTGATTCCTGTTATTAGGGAGTGGCTTACAAAAGGTGATATCAGTACAAGGTGGTAAGGTTGATTCCATTAACTTATTTTCATACTGTCACCTGAAGATGAGACTCTCAGGTTAACAGGTGTAGAAGTAATTATTTCATGCTCAACTAGGGGTTTCACTAGAGTTTCTCACAACAGGCTAGATAAATGAAAACAACAGGCGAAATTAATGGAAATCATAAATTTAACATTGAAAAGTCCCTAAAAATAACAGGCAATTTTGTGAAAACAACCAGTGAATAATGCCAGTGAATATAAGTGTTACTATGAAAAAACAATCAGAATAATCATATTCACCTGGTTTTATCCTACTCCCCAGGTACTCATATTCAAGTTTAAGGATGTAAAATATATTCATTTTGTGATTGGTATTTTACTGAGTCTTTGTAAAACAAATGCAGCATCTCTTACATTGCCATGTCTCTATTTTATTGATATTTCCTTTTGGTGGTAAGTATGGCATTCAGGGTCAGGCTGCGTTATCAAGGGAACAACATGCCAACATAAGTGAAGATCTTACTTGGTTATAAAACAGCTCTCAGTTTTCTCTTATACAAGAATAATCACCTAGTTCAGGGGTATTTATGGCACATCTTTGAGAGGTTTGATATGAGCTCAGATCCATTACAGCATTAAAAGCATGGAAAGAATATATATAATACAGAGTCATGACTAGAGCGAGGTTGTGTTAGTATTACATTGGGTATCAGAATATCCATGTTTAATACATTAAATAATTTGTGGTATATTTTGTTTATATTTTGACATCCAAAGATTACATTGATGTTATATACAGAAGTGATTTGAACAGTGACCAATTCTCATTGAAGTAATTTTTATTTTTTTAGGAAACCTAAAGATGGCTGATGATCAAGCTAAGCCTTGCCCAAATGATAAGAAGGAGCAGCTGGAGAGAAGGAGCAGCAAGTCCAGGCTGGCCAAGCAAGATGAAGTAGAAGAACTGGAGGAAGAAGACAACAGTCCCAGTTCTGAGGCCTCTGATGCTACAATTGTCCCAGGTGACCATAATATCTTTTTTGCCCCACCATTAAGACTTGGCGACATATAGCCACCATTTTTATTGTGACTTGTATTAGGTATTAGCATCCATGTTTTTCACCTGTTACAAGTTGACTCACCTTCGTAACCATTTGCAATAATTTTTTAGATGATTTTTCATGGCAATGCCCTATTCCCATATGGACCCTGGCCTTGTTTTTTTTTTACATATTTGACACATGAAACCTCTGCATTTAATAAAAACTGTTGGCTTGGTGCTTACCAGAAATAATGTAAACTGCTGGTAATTGTTTTTCTTAAATTACATCATTGTGTGGGGGCTCAATCCCATCTGATGAATATGCCTGGCACACACCCACCATGTGCGTATGGCTAGATATAATCACTGTTCATTTTTTCCAATTTTCACCTGCCTATGATTTCTGTTGCTGAGTGAATTGAAATTAAAGAATCCACAACCCTCGGAAAGATCAGAGAAATAACATTCACGTATGGCTTTAAGAGCTCACATAGTAGTTCATTCCATGTTACATCAAGAGTCTGTCAACTCCTCCAATCCATTGGCCTCCAATAATCTTAATTATTGGTCCATTTCTATGACATGATTAGCCAACAATACTGTCTAGCTATTGATAGAAGTTACAAAGACGTCTCGTCTAATCACTTAAGAATCTAATCAGTATCTTAGGTGATTTCAAGCTAACATTTATTAGCAACAGTGGTCTGTTTAAAAGTATTGATCATTTAAATAACATTATGCCCAGTTATCTGTAATTGTGTTGTCATAATGAGCACAGATTTGATTAGAAGTGTTGAGCAGTTATTGAGTATCCAAGCAGGGTGACATCTAGCTTCAATTTACCTTGGCAATTTCATTTTTATATTTCATTTTATAACGGAAATATTTCTACTTGATACAATTGAAGATCGACATAGATTCTTTTATTGACAAATGATCTTTATGTCCATTATTGCTTCAGTACTTTTCACATTCTTATGTCACCATCACAAGTGGTGAAATATTCTTGTTTTTTGTGGATGGTGTTTGGTTGTTGGTGTTCTGTGGTCGGTGTTCAGCATCTGTAACAAATGGCAGGCGGTGACATTGTGCATGTTAATCTCTTGTATAATGGTGAAGTTTAAGCTTTACAACATATATTATTTTAAACATGTTTCTTTTTGAGAAATTGTGCATCTTTGAAAAAGAATGAAAGAGACAACCTTCATTAAGTAAGTTTATATTTCAGTTCTGAACACACCAGGAGGATCCCCACAGTCTGGGTCCCCCCAGGAAGAGGAAGTTGTTGCGGTGGAGGAGGGAGAGGAAGATGATGACAATACTTCACAAGTAAGTACAGTATTAGTTACATGTACCATCCTTGTGGACAAAGTAGACCCTGCATGAAGAAATGGTACCGATGAAAAAACATAAAATGTCAAAATTAATCAGTTGGAATTTCAACTGAGACATTATTTTAATAAAGTGGTACAAAACAACTAGAAGCCAGCAAAAATATGTTTTTAATGTCTTTTGATTAAAAACAGTAACAATATAATGCTGATTGAATAAATACAGTATTACCTTGTTTGACCATTTATTGCTCAATAAATTATTTTATTTAACTTATTAATCAGCAATGTAGTTATAGAAACAATTTCTTCAGGAGGCATTGTAAAGTTGCGTTTATTGAGTCTGCACTATCATTACAACCTTATTTGAACAATTATTTGACACAACGAGATATTGTTTGACCTTTCTTCATTACTAGTGGATGATTCATATTTTGACATACGTGGGTTATAATACAATTTAAACTGACGGATATTCAACCATTATGACCCCTAAGGATACCTTTATATTGATATAGCATATAAACAAACTTGTTAACCGAGAGGTGTTAATTTATGAATTCTTTGGCTGAGTTATGACTCTCGGGAGTCCGGTCGTTTATTCACAGCAATATACAGCAATTCCTGCTTAATATTGCAATATCCTCATGTTTACTTCACATGATTCCTCTGTATCATGTGTAAAAAACATTCTGGTTTTTGGCATTTTTATACAATTAATGCTATTGGGTTCATTGTTGTTAACTGTATACTTAAGGGTCAAGGTCATTTTCTACTCTATTTGGTATTTTAAAGTGACTACTGTATCAATTTGAGTGCAGGGATTTTCAAAATATAATGTTTTATGGTTCTTTATTGACCATTCTACTTATCACAAATGGGAATATTCAATGTGAGTTGCATTTTATTATCGAGTAAAAATTCTTCAAGAGTTTGCTACATCTTAGGAATCGTTTAAGTAATTTAGTATATCATTATTTTTACCATTGCATTCCCCTTCTCTGTGGCTCCAATATGTATGCCGTATGACTCACCCTCATATCGACAGACTGAGAGCATTCGCTTCACAATATGATTACTGCAGAATCCAGATATTGAAGTTAATTTTCTCTATCTGGCTGGCTTTTTGGTTTCGCCTTCAGGAAGTGTTTTAAGTTAAAGTGTTTAAGTGGGATGGACTATTGGGACACTAAGTGGGCAGGTACAGGGTTGCACTTATTACACTCACCAAAAAGCAGAAAAATAAAGGATATAGAAGTATGAACCAATTCATTTATTTCATTTTATTTAGATTGATGTTGAAGCGTTGTAGGAAAGGAAATGGCCAAAGAGACATACTGTATAAGTGGTATTTAATCCGAGTGGTTAATTTTCTAAATGGTCAAATTTCATCATTTTCCTAATTTTAATTTTCCTAATGACAAGAAACCTCCCATTGGATAACATTATAAAGACTATATTTCCGAATTTAATTTTCCGAACCTGGCAAAAATTAGGAAATAGGCAAATTAAATGATTAGGCAAAATTACCACTTATACAGTAAATGTGACATCCATTCAATAAGATTGAAATTTGAATTTTGGAGACTCTGAGTTGCGCCTTCAGAGAAAATAAATTAAAATATCCCTCTCAGTTGATTCATTGAATAACCAACTGTGTGAGTGTGTGGACGGATGTGTGCGCAATGCAAAAGCTTAACATAACGTGAACTACCTTAAATGAATGTGGTATTGAATTTTCCTTTATTTTATCAGATATCAAAATTATTTTTTGGAAAATAAAATTCGGATTGTAAGGGAAACATTGTTGTGAGAAGTAAGCGAGAAAGTGAGAATTGAGAAAGTGCACAAGGGAGCATTTATAACCCTACAGTTGTAGAAATATTGACTCAAAGATCTTTGTATAATCAATGTTTCAAATTGTTTGCTAGCTATTACCTATTACTGTGTACATTTTATAGAAACTTGATTCCCTCTTTGAAAAAGATATTCCTTTATCATTTTTTACTTATTGTTATTAATTACTTTTTTTTTAAAAAACCTTGCAAATTGATTTATGATAGCGGTATCTAGGTTTGTAATCTAATACCAAAAGTGTGCATCTCCTTGGATTATATTGAGGTAGATATCATATATCCATTATGGCATATCCACTATGAAATAAATTTAACTTGGTTTGAACCAATTCATGGGACTCAAAGTACCATTTGGGAATCAGAATGGGTCAGAATGTGAAGATTTTCTGCAGACGAGGAAAGAATGAATCATGGAATAAAGCTATCAAATTATTAAATGGCATTGAATTTGGCAGGGGTAGTTAGTTGCCATTAAGTTGATAAGGCAATTTTAAAGTCAAACAGATTTGATGAGAAAAAACTGCATTGATCGATCGTTTGAGGTTCAAATGAGATGAAATTCAAATATCTGTCATACCCCTTTTAATTTCCAACCTTCCAACCTTTATTGTTTACTTTAAAGTCACCACCACAGGTGACATTATTGTTATAGTCTCCATCTTTTTGTGAATGGTGTTCTGGATTAGCTTGTCAGTGTTGGGCATTTGGCATTGGACATTGGCGTTTGTATTAAATGGCAGGTGGTGACATTTTGAATGTTAATGCCTTGTTCAATTTTCAACCCACGTCATGTTTTATCTTTATGAGCAGGGTTCAGTTTTCCCTATTGGTATCTTATAGCAGTGGAGTGAAATGAAAACACCTTCGAAATGAGATCTCTTCTTGCCACACCAAATAATTAATACTATTCCATCTGTATAGTATAAGACTGGTCCCAATGTTCTTGGAAAATCAGATACTTTTGTATTGAAGTACACTGAGTAGGGTTACTATAACCATAAATGTCTAGTAAAGTAGAAAGGCTAATTGAATCTCATAGCTGGTTACTTGGGAGATACATCCAATTCCCTAATCATTTCTTGAAATCCCCTAATGTACAATTAATGCAAAATCTTGCATATTCCTGATGAGTCAAATATGTTAAGCTCAACCCACACATAATATATACATGTATCCCTAGTTGACACCACGTAAATTGCTTTTCTCAATTAGGTCATCTATATGTCACATAGTGGGGGTTTTACTAGAAATTTTTGTGTGGTCGTAATAGGTAATGTCCCTAATGGGCAAGCTGTCTTTTTCTAATGGTCAATCCAAAAACTCGACTACATCAATTCCATATACATTCTGTATTTTCAGTAAGGACCATTTAATAAAATGAGCTCCATAACTTGTAATGAAAGCCTTCAGATTATATTTTAAAGCACATGTATGACATCTAGATTGCCCTACCTGAAAAGCAATATTGTGAAGTGTCATTTGATAATACAGCTAGGAGCTGTATGCATCAATCTTGACTTTTATATCAGCACCTATATTTATTAAAATCATAATCTGAATATAATCGCTTAACATTTCCTTCAGTTTTTAGGAAAAATAATCTTTAGAAATATTTAAAGCCAGGAGAATCAAGCAAAAGAAGGGTCACTATTGACAAGAATTATCATTTTCATTAAATACCTCTCAAATATTTCAGACTCATCCCAGGGTGAAGGTGCTGGTAAGGAGCCAGGCTTTACGTGATGACTCCTCCCCGCCCCCTGACAGTACTGGGGAAACATCCTCCTCAAGTTCTACCACCAGTATATCTAGTCCCGTTAGTGCTTTAACCACACCTCAGGTATGCTACACTTATTTGTTTAACTTTGAAGGGATTATATAAATGTATTAAGTGTGCAATTTAACTTTCTTGCATAGTTGATGCTAAGTGACATCTAATCTAATCACTACTTAAGCTATATGATTGTTTTATTGAAATATAGCTAAATATGAGAAATGCCATATATAAAATAATCAAAGTAATACATTTGCACATGTAATGTAATTTGGAAATTTCAATGATATTGAAGTGTAAGGGTACATGGATATATAGCTCTGCAATTCACATGATTTTAATACCCAGTTGATTGCTGTGGCAAAATGTGTAGGCTATATATAATATTGCATTTGCTGGTGTTTTAAGGAAAGCAAAGGTCGTTTGGAAAAACAGGGATCTGGGTCCAGTAGCCTGGAGATCTATGGAACAAGTCCTCACTGCCTGTCACCAGCAGGGGGCAACTCCCCTGCCCTGTCTAGAGGTGAGCTGATTTTGCTGCTTAACATGGGGGCTTGGTTCAGGTCTATTCAAAGCACTAATGCTATCTTCTGTTTGGGTATCCTTATAGCTTTTCTGGAGAGATTCTATTTCATAATGTCATATTTCATTTCATTAAATGGACAAATTAGTTTGACTTTCGCAGTATAGCATTCATTAAGTTTCCTTATGCATGTAGGTGTTATCATTCCAAGAAAAGCTCATCAAATTTGTATTATTACTTGTAAAAATGACACCTGGAAATTTTACTCACAGTACCCTTTGCAGTCTCGTAGAGGACGTTGTAACTAAGTAAAAGAACCAAAAGGGAAAATCAAAGAGGAAATAGTATACAAAACACAGCAGGAAAAACACAACCAAAAACATAAGGAAAGCAAACCCATAATATCCCACATTATGATGCAAATCTATATCTTGGATTTCTTGTTTTCAGATACGAGCGTGGAGATGCAGTATACGGACTCTACAGGCACTGACCTGGAAGAGTTTATCACTATGACACTCAACAAAAACCTCAAGGATAGAAATATATTACTCAAAATGGAATGTGATCTCAATGGATTTGTGAAAGATCAAAAGTAAGAATATTGGAAATATATTGGTCACTGAATAATGCTAAGTTTAACATTAAAAAAGATCTTGAATCAACCCTCTAGTGTTGCTCAGACATTAGAGAGGTTTCGCACAACAGGTACATAGCTAAAACGTATCCTCAACTGCATCTCATTTATATTAACTGAACTACTATGAAGAAATCTGGTGAATGCATTGCGGATTCTAGATGAGTTGAGTTGCGAAACCTCTCTGTTGGTTGGGGAATAGATACCTAGAGATTAAGACCAGATTTACTGGCTGACTTACATTGTACAAATATTTGGACAGTATTTTGGACATTTTCATGCACAGAACATAGTTATTGCAATGATATATTGCTGTTGCCACTGGAGATCATCCTTTGGGCATAACTAATGAGGACATTTAACCCCTTGAATCCCAGGCTCTAAAATTGGTTTGAAACCAGAGAAATTTTCATTTTTTGCCAGATTTTGATATTTTACAACATAGATATACAACGGGTGATGCTCGATTTAGTGGAACTTGTTGGCAGAGATCATTTGTACACATTTTAAAACATTTTTAATTTTTATTGTGTAAATTGGATGGAAATTGTTCAAATTATCTCGTTACTCTAGGTTTTAAGGTCATTTCTTGGGTGATGAGAAATATCATCATTCTGGGTAGTCAAGAGGTTAAACAGAGTTGATCATCCATGGAATCATAACTGGATTAAATCATTTAATTAAGACGATTGATTAATCATTCATTGCCCACAATACACTTTTCTCTGCCATTTATTTTAAGTTATTGTCTCTGCAGGTATTTTAATGACTGTGTTTAGTGTATTATCACAGAAAATGAATTTTTTTAAAGCGAGGCCAAAATCTCATCTGAGAATTCTGGTAAATCGGAATTCTCGATGAAGGAACAGAGCTGGTGTGGATGTTGACCTATCTTTATATTTCAGACATGATTACCTCAAGTTTCCACCTATGACATCATACCATCGCATGCTGGTTCATCGTGTGGCTGCATTCTTTGGCTTAGACCACAATGTCGACACCTCTGGCAAGCAGGTTGTCGTTAACAAAACTCCAAATACCAGAATGTAAGTCTTAATACCTGTATGTCAAGGGGGAAAACTGTGGCACAATATGAGGGGTATCAAATATTGAATATCAAGAATGGCAAATGAGAAAAATATAGATTATGGGGCTCAGTTGAATATATATAGTTATATAATGGTCTTAAATTAAGGAATGTGAAATATAAAACTTGAGCAAAAAACATTGTAGTTTTGATTCATCTAATTTTAGTCAAGTAAGTTCACTACATAACAATAGACCAGTAAATAATATATTTTTGAAATTTTTTTTTGATTTCAAAAATATATTGTGTGTTCGCTATAAAACTCATACTTGTAAGGAACTCTCAAACTAAATGGAGATATTTTTATATTTCAGTCCCGATTATAAATTTCTGGACCATATAAGGGAAGATTTTGACCAACCAAAGAAACTAATACTCAAGCGAGACACTGGGAGTTTTGATGACGGACATGTAAGTCAAAATTTAGAAATTGTAAGATAACATTTGTTTAATTTACCTCTGTACATGTCAGTTTTCCATTATGTATTTACAATAATCCAAAATTTTCAATGTGTATTTACAAAAATCCAAAATTTTCCATTATATATTTACAATAATCCAAATTTTCAATGTGTATTTGCAATAATCCAAAATTTTCAATGTGTATTTATAATAATCCAACATTTTCAATGGGTCTATGTTATTCACATAGAACAATATATGAACCTTGGATGCTAGACTTTTGCCGTTGTTCACTCATACCATTGTAAAGCTACAATGTTCTCAATCTGTTTAAGAATCAGCATCATCTTCTGATGAACTAATATAGAAACTGCTAGCTCCTGCTTCTTTATCTTGCTTAACACTAGGACATAATTAGTATAAATTCCAGCATTTGAAATAATTTTTTTTGAATAAAAATCTGTCTAATTAAATCAGACCATTTGCACATGGGCTTGCAAATTATCACACTCCGACCACCTTAATGGGCTTCTAAATTTTACACAACTGAACCTATTTTATCAGTCAAGTGGTAATAATATTGGTCAACTACCTACGTTACTGAGCTGGTATGAATAATCCTATTTTATCAATCAAATGGTAATAATTTTGGTCAACTACCTTCCTTAATGAGCTGCCATTTCTGGTTGTTCTAGGGCCTCTATAAACGTAGGCAACAAAACCATAAGGCAAGATGCTTTAGCTATCTATCCATATACCCTAGCTAGCTGAATGTACCCCGTAGTAGGAAATTGGCAAATGTTTGAATTTTCTCAATGTGCACCATTTGGAAATGATTGAATATTCTCATTGTGCACCATTTGGAAATGATAGAATATTATAAATGTGCACCATTTGGAAAGGATTGTATAATCTCAATGTGCACTATTTGGAAATGACTGAATATTATCCACAATGTGCACCATTTTGAAATGATTGTTGAAGCTTCATATTGCACACTGTTTGCCATTTTCCAAAGAGATCTTGTGGTTGCAGTGTATGTATGGTACAATGTATTTTATTTATATATATAGACCTGCATCTTTAGGGTATCTTGATTTGAAATCTTTCATTAATAGTGTTGTATAAAGACCTTCTCCCCCACACAACTCCTGCACTTCTCAGGTCTTCTTTCATTCTTCAAATTCTAAAGGATTATCAATACAACACTGTTAGGCTATTCTGGTAGCATCCATGAAGTAATTTAAGTACTGAATAATATGGTGAATATGAATTATGATTATGTAACACAAACGCTAAGGATGCAGGTCTAGGATGGAACTGGAATATATGAGACCCATAGCCACCTAAGTGGACCCCTCAAGACCCTCTTACTCTCACTATGGGCATATACATGGACCATATAAAAGAGTCAGGTCAGGTTTTGATTCAGGCCAGATCATGTTCAAATTCATGCAGTACATACAGGCTGATCGAACTCATCATAAAATTGTACTTTGTTGTATGGTCCACGCTCGTAATGTGACATTTTAATTGATGCTTGCTACTAAGTCCTTTCTACAGTTCTAAAGAAACGGAATCTAGAATCATAGTAGAATAAACAGACATGAATATGTTGATTTTTAAACATGCTGTTATTTTATATTTACTAAATGGAATAATGACTCATTTATTACATATTAGCCAAGTACCTACACATTGAAATTTGAAAAACAGAATGAAATATGAATGCCAAGTTTTAGACATTATGTGATCCCCACAGATCTATTTTATGATGATTTGACAAGTGCTGTATATTAGTAGTTATTGCCTATACCCCCCATGTCTGTGCTGATGTGTGATTTGGATAATCTTGATTTGGTGTGGGCATAGTGACTTGGTGTTAGTTTAGGGTTGTTTTTTTTAGTCTAGGGGCCAGTAAAGATGGTGTGTTTGAACTGACCATATTTCAGATTCTGAATACCTCAGCTGACTGAAGATTGCTCCAGTAAAGTTATTCTATGATTCAAGTAATATATAGAAAAAATAATGAGAAGGCTGCATTCCCTGACGATGATGCCAAAATGTCTCTTTTATATGCCAACATTACTAGAGAGCGAAACAAAAGCTCTCTGCTTTTTATTATATTTTTTGTTCATCCATACTATGGATAACTGGACCATGCCTCAGTCAGTCCAGGTACCATTTGCTATTGGTGTATCTTGTGTTCCCCATGATGATGTTTTTGTTTTTGAGTGAACTGCATAGATTCCCTAGTCTTTAATTTATATCAAGTCTTTTGAAAACTACTTCAACAAAAATTTTTTCAACTTAGCCTTTTTTTAGATATTGATATGGCTATAATAATGTCACTGTCAGTCATCAAAATGTCACTTTTTGCTATCTACACAATGCGTTACAAGGCAGGCAAACAGCTTTGCCCTTTTGCTTCATGGTTGATAATACCAGTTAGAGGTGTCACGGATACCCGATTTTGTTCCAATCCGCGGAATTATGCCCTCGGAACGGAACACGGAACAAAAATTAAGAATTTCAGTTCAGTTCCGGAACAAAAACATTGTACCCTTTCACAACTTCTGGCCCTTGAATCTCCACAAAATAGCATTTTTCTTTCAATATTTTGTACCAAAAGAGGTTTCTTTTTATTACTCCTTATCTTTGAAGAGTTTTGAAGAGCCTTTCGCTACCAAATAGACCTAGATGATCAAATTATTTTAATCTAATACACGCAGTCACTCTGTTCCGAACCGTTCCGAAATTGTTCCGTTCCGAAGCAAAATGTTCCGAACTGAACCGTTCCGATTATTTTTTGTTCCGTGACATCTCTAATACCAGTATGCAACAAATTCAGCTTGCCTCTCTTTTGCCAACAGGGATTTTCAATTCTTGCATTTGCAATAGTTGTGCCTTATTCCTTCAATAAAATAACAGTATAGTGTTTCTATATTTCAGGGGCGTAGCTCAGAAAAGATGTCACTAGCTGACAAGAGGAGTAAATCTTATGAGGAGCGAGAAGAGGAGTACCAGAAGGCAAGGGAACGAATATTTAGGACAGAGGGGGTCAGTGTTGTATTACACCCTTATATACATTAGATAGTCACCCTAGATTAATATCCATCTGGGGTATTTCTCTCTCTCTTTCTTGCATTTTCAAGTCATGCATTACCTTACATTGCACCCATACAGGGTATTAGCTTTAAAAATACAATAAGAAGCATATCAGTCTCAAATGTTGACAGAAATAAACAATAGATATAAAGGGTGTGACACTTCATACCTCTTAATAGATTTTTTTGAACATTTCTCTTTTACCATTATATAGTTTTGTGCATTATAATTATACTCTTTTAGCCCTAACGGGCATATATAACCTGAAATAATTTTTAGATTGAGTTTTGTCTTATTCAAAAATTAAAGCATCATTCATAGAATAGAATTGCAGGCTTGTAATAATTTAAACCATTCAATGTTTTTCAGTCATCTTCATCAGAAGGCATGCTGAGTCTAGAGTCACCAATGAGGTCAGTTAGCAGTAGTCTAATCAGTAAATGTAATAGCAATACCAGTATGAATTTGTATACAACTGAATGGGGAAAATGTAATAGTAGTACCAGTATGGATAAATACATGGGGATAAATCATGTAATAGTAATACCAATGTGAATTCATATATCCTCTGTATCAAAAGTCTTTTCCTATTAAGGAAAACCTCAAATAACCAAATGACCAGTAAACTTAATGAAACTTTTCACACAAAGGCATTTGATACACATTATCCGAATATTTGAAGACTATTGATTAATTGATGAATTTTTACTCAAAATATTACATACAGAACATAAGCATATACCATGGATTTATACATGGGAAAATGTAGAAAATGTAATGGTAATACCAGTGTGAATTCTTATATGGGGGAAAATGCAACATTATGAAATCATGGTCATTTGAACAAGCTGTTTCTTGAGGAAATGCTTTTCATTGCTTACTTTATCTTTTAAATTTCTATTATTTTAGAGGATATTTTTCGTTTTGTTTTTTCTTTTTGGCTCACATTTGGGATCCATCTGTCTCCATTGGTCTGTCTGGCAACATTGATAGCACAAATTAAAATTTCTATATGCATTAGGTCATATCCAAGTCTTCTATTTGATCTGTAATTGTCATTTTCAAGGTCCTTGCAGTTTTCAAGAAATCGATAGTTTTGACAATATTTTAGAACTAGGGAGCAGTATATGATGCATACACATTACACAGGGACATTGGGTTCTTCATTTCTAATTATTTCTGTTTTTCATTCACATACTCTAGATGTGCGCACCTGTAGTTAGTCACATTGTCTCAACTTGATGAGTCTATTTTCTTGTAGCAGTAGATCAAGTACACGACATTCAAGTAAAGAAGACCTTCAGTGGAGGGAACACCCAAGAGCTTGGAGTAGTACAGAGTCTAGTGGCTATGGCACAGATACAAGCACAAAGTTTCACAAGTTGTCTGTGCCAAAGGCAAGCAGTTTTGGTGAGACGGGAATGACAGTGTTAGCGAGGTCTGATAGCAAAGGAAGCTCTCGGTTGTCTAAAAATGGTATGTCTATCTTTGTAACAATATATGAACTATGATCAAAATCTGGTTAATAGGAATACCTTTTATTTTCTCATTGATCTTACTAATAACTTCTTTTAGATTGAACAGTGATGGCTAGAGCATAGTAGGTAGTATTGTGACAAGACCACCCCAAATACATTCCTTTCACTTCTAGACTTGAATACATCTCAAAATACACATGAGCAAAAATGTATTGCAGATTCTATGAGCAGTGTTAGTTCAAGCCTAGGTAGCCCAATGACGAGACGACCCCCAATACTACCCCCTTTGGACTCTTATAAACACATGTACAAAAATGTATTGTACATTCTATGAGCAGTGTTAGTTCAAGCCTAGGTAGCCCAATGACGAGACGACCCCCAATACTACCCCCTTTGGACTCTTATAAACACATGTACAAAAATGTATTGCAGATTCTATGAACAGTGTTAGTTCAAGCCTAGGTAGCCCAATGACGAGACGACCCCCAATACTACCCCCTTTAGACTCTTATAAACACATGTACAAAAATGTATTGCAGATTCTATGAACAGTGTTAGTTCAAGCCTAGGTAGCCCAATGACGAGACGACCCCCAATACTACCCCCTTTGGACTCTTATAAACACATGTACAAAAATGTATTGCAGATTCTATGAACAGTGTTAGTTCAAGCCTAGGTAGCCCAATGACGAGACGACCCCCAATACTACCCCCTTTAGACTCTTATAAACACATGTACAAAAATGTATTGCAGATTCTATGAACAGTGTTAGTTCAAGCCTAGGTAGCCCAATGACGAGACGACCCCCAATACTACCCCCTTTGGACTCTTATAAACACATGTACAAAAATGTATTGCAGATTCTATGAACAGTGTTAGTTCAAGCCTAGGTAGCCCAATGACGAGACCACCCCCAATACCTTCCTCACCCCCTCTAGACTCGAGCAGTAGCAGTCAGTCAGCTCCTAGTCCTGCACAGCAACAAAGTAAGATATATTCAGAGTAGAACTCAATAATGAACAAGCAAGCTAATTTAAAGTTATTAGAGGCTCTATATTGTCTAATTTAGATTATATATAGGCTTTCTGATTCAAACCAATTTGCCAGAAAAAATGGGGCCAGAAAGACATGGATTTCCATATTGATTATTTTTATTAAACCTACACTCAACAATTGGTTATGTACAGACATGATTCGTGATAACAACTTCACAGTCCCACATGAAAATTACATATTTTAAGTACTATGGTTATTAGAAGTAAAAAGTTTGAGTAACTAATTTGCACTTAATGAAGTGGAATGAAAGCTGGGGTGTAAAATTAAAGTTGACATTTGGGCATATATATTTTGCGATAATTGCTACAAATGTTACAACATATTATTCCCATTATTGATAATGTCAATGTTTATTGCCATGTCTAAGAACTCCTCTTTATCCCACACAGAGCCCTAGAGAAGGTGGTCATATTTCATTTTCAATTTATATTTGATATTCATACTTTGACATTTGATATTTTTGTCAGTGTTGTGTAGAATCAGAACACAAAAAGCCTTCATAGCATTTTGTATTAATCAAAGGATTCCAAGTATTCACAATCTGACATTCAGTTTGCTATATTTATCAACTTTTCAAAGTGCTCAGGTGCCTTAACTACTTAATGCTGTACCTATATAGTTCACACGTTTCACTACCTATACATTAATTATCCCATCGAACGAAGTTCGGAGGGATATAGGGAACGCCTCCGTCCGTCCGTCCGTCCGTCCGTCCGTCCGTACGTCTGTCCGTCCGTCCGGGCAATAACTCAAATACCGTTGGCCCGATTTTGTTCATATTTTGTACACATATACCCTATGGGGGTAGAAGTTCTGCTCGAAAGCCAATTTTCAAAATGGTGGCCATTTTAGTGCTGATTTTACAGTAACTTAGGTGCAGTATGTAAAACTGTAATAGCAATATGTTTTAAATGTAAAAACATTATAAAGGACATTAATAAAGCTACAAATGTAGATATTAAAAAAGCACATGGCAGCCATCTTGAAAAATGGCGGCCTTTACTCGTTATTTTAACGATTTTTGCTGTAACTCGAAAAGTAGTGGAGCGATTTTGTTCATATTTGGTATGTGAATACTATAAACATTGCACACTGTCTAAAGACACTTTTGGTAGAAGGCGGCCATTTTGAAAAATGGCCGCCATTTTAACGTTTTTTACTATAACTTGAAAAGTAGTGGAGCGATTTTGTTCATATTTGGTATGTGAATACTATAAGCATGGCACACTGTCCTATGACACTTTTGGTAGAAGGTGGCCATTTTGAAAAAAAAATTGAAAAATGGCCGCCATTTTAACATATTTTTACTATAACTCGAAAAGAAGTTACGCGATTTTGTTCATATTTGGTATGTGAATACTATAAGCATGGCACACTGTCTAAAGACACCTTTGGTAGAAGGTGGCCATTTTTAAAAATGGCCGCCATTTTAACATATTTTACTATAACTCGAAAAGTAGTGGAGCGATTTTGTTTATATTTGGTATGTGAATACTAAAAGCATGGCACACTTTTGGTAGAAGGTGGCCATTTTTAAAAATGGCCCCATTTTAACGTAATTTTCTATAACTTGAAAAGTAGTGAAGCGATTTTGTTCATATTTGATTTGTGAATACTCATGAGCCTTGCACACTGTCTCATGACACTTCGGATAGTAGGCGGCCATTTTAAAAAATGGCTGTCATTTTACATTTTTTTTACTATAACTCGAAAAGTAGTGGAGCGATTTTGTTCATATTTGATATGTGAATACTCTAAGCATGGCACATTGTCTAATAAAACTTTGGGGAGTAGTCGGCCATTTTGAAAAATGGCCACCATTTTTATGTGTGTTATTTTACAAGAACATGTGTGCGATTTTTCAATTTTATAGGTGGCTTCTTAAAAGCATATTATTTCTTCTGATGACAACTTGGCTAGTGAGCAATGGTGGCCTTTCTGGTGTGTTGTTTTATGATATTTGCTATATATTTTGTTTGTAAAAATGCCAGCCATTTCTGTTCGATGGGATTCGCTACGCTTTGGCGTTGCCGTTGTTCTGGTTAAATGTTTCCCTTGGGGAAATCTTTTAACTTTCTAGGAATCGTTTTTTGACCAAGATGTTTCGTCACATAAATGCACTGTCTCTCTTTAAAGGTTATGTATAGGCGTTTATACCACTTTGGCTTGACTAGTAACTTTATCTCACCCAAATGATAAGGAGTTATGTTGTATGTGTCTTGTTAGTCTCTTATTGGGAGCTCGTTATATCTGAAATATCTTAGAAATCAAAAGTGTAACCTTTATTTCTATTTTCAGAAATGGACACCTCAGAGCCCATTTCATTTCAGTGTTTATTTTCAGAAACGCCTTCCCCCTCAGGTCACACAGGAGGTCCCCCCATTAACTTAGAGCCAGGGCAGCAGGTGTTATGTCTAGCTGATGTAGACACCCTACCCCCAGGCAGCATCATTATAGATCCAGCTACAGGTACAGTTTCTAGTAATTTTGAATAGAGCTATAACGATATATGGTGTCATCAAACTTAAGTCCATTAAATCAATTAAATGTATAATTGAATTGAACATATGTGATTTCACTTAATTCTTGGAATGTACATTTCACTAAAACCTTTCTTATCTGGGACAAGGCAGGGGTGAATAGCAGGCATTCTTAGAGATTTTTGCTCACATGATGAAACTATATAATCACCCCCTCTTCTGTACATCTATCCATCAATCCACGTGTCTGTCCATATCTCCTTTTGCCCATTCCATTCTTAAATGGGAGAAATAAATTGAACCTAATACTGTTGAGAGGTGTACCTGGTTACTGTAAATATGTCCAGTTGTACATACAATATATTATCTGTTTTTTATTTGATATTTTACAGGTCAGCCATACAGGAACCCTGATGGGACTGTGTATCGACATAACCCAACACCTGCGCAACAACAGCAGTCACAGCAGCAACAGCCTGCTCAACCACCCCCTCCACAACTGGCCTCACCCCAGGGGCCATACTGTTATGGGGCTAATTATCAACCCAAAGCCCCTCAACCTGTTCTTTCTCCACAGCAATCTCTGGTTTGTAACATAATTGATTTAAGTCTATTTGTCAATATCTTTGTAAATTATTTGATAAAAACTGATAAACTAAACTAAGGAGTATTTGTAATTCATTGCCTTATTTTTTTCAAGGTAGTTCTCCACTGTGTAAAATGTCAATTGAGCCCTTTTGCTAATTTTATGTTATATAAATTGTATTGTTTGATTAACTACTGAGTTTACCTATGATTTGCTTACCTTAAAGCTGATAAACCTAGTAGTATGTTAATGAACATCTATGGAGTTAGAGACTATCTCCTGAGATCCTTGGTTGTTTTTGCAGGACCCTTTGAACAATCCTGAGTTGACTCAGCGTTTATCTCACATGACAGTTAGTCCCCAGGGGTCTCTAACAATAAGTCCACAAGCTTCTGTGGACCAACCAGAAGTGACACCTGGTGGCCAAGCTCAACAACAGCAGATGTTTATGGTCCCTGTTCAACAGCAGCAGCAGCCAACAGCTGTGTATCAACACCCACAACATCCACAGCAGTCACAACCCACACAGCAGCAGCAACAGGTGAAATTATTTGCATCAGTTGTAACTGGAAATGAATGGTACAGTATATTGGTCATGAAACCAAAATCCCAAGAACCTTCCCTTAAGCAGTCAAAGATATCATTTAATTGTGGTGCCCACGCACAATATATGAACAAATGATCATACTCCAGAGTTTCCACAAGTCTGATTTAGTTCAAATATCAAAGCGTTACATCAACTCTAAAGTAGTTTAATTCCAAGAAAACTAAAAACATCGAAATCGACGCTTCCCATCCGTCATCTTAAATGCGAAGATGACGGCATTAACCTTTGCTTGCTACTGACCAATTATTATTGATATATTTGTTTTCAGGTTTACTTTCCAGCCAATCAGCAGGTAGCCAGTGGCCAGCAGCAGGCATACGCTGCACCTCAGTATGCGAGTCAGACCCAAAGTCAGCTGCCGGCTCAAGGTTCCCTAGAAGGCCATCCTGTAGTCCAGCAACATCCTCTTCATCTTACACAGCAATCATCCACAGAAACCCAATTGCAATATAACAACAGCCAGAATTATCCGCCAGTTCATATGGTCCAGGGTTATACTGCCCCGCAGGCTACTCATGGAGAGGCCTACCCCACACCCCAGGGGTTCCCCACACATCAGCAACCGGGGCAACCCCAGGGATATGCAATACGGCCACAGGCTGAGCTCCCCGCTGCTGCCTACCAGCAATACCCCCATGTTGGCCACCAGCACCATAGTAGTGGTCAGACAGTTATGCCTGCTGGTGGACAGCAGAGTCAGCCTGTTTACTACAATGTTACTAGTAGTACAGGTAATACGCAGTATGTTACATACCAGCCCCAACCCCATGAGCAACCTCAAGCTGCAGGCTTTCGGCCTCAGTCACCAACTAGTCAGCAGCCAGGCATGCAGCCACCTGCACAATCACAGACTTATATCATGGGGACACCCCAGTTAGCTCAGCCAGTTACTAGTAGTTGTGGCTCTCAAGTTGTGGCTTATCCATCATATCCAGGTGTGGCTCAGCCACAACAACATCGTGCTCAAAGTCCCCCCCAGCAGGCCAGTTCGATGGTCTACAGCAGTATACCTGGTCACCCTACCCAAGGGGCCCCACGCACAGCATCTCCCCCTGTCAATCCTGTAAATATCCAGTATACACAAGCTGTCGGTGGGCCCCAGGTACATGGCTATCCTAACCCCACAGAAAGACCTGGACAACTGAATCTCCGTGAAGGAGTGGTGCCTGGAGCACCAGTATCTATACCCCATGGTCATGTGACCCCTGTAGCGGCACACCCCCAACCAACAATCAGACCCCAGCTACCTGCAGTGAAACTAAGACCACCCACAAATACAACAGGTAAGACTCATTGAATATTTTTATAACACCAAGAAATGGGACAGATTCTTATAGTAAAAGTTATTTTAATGAGTTGCAGTAATATTTAGTGATTTGCATTCAACATATGTAATAAATTGTTACAATTTCGGTAGGCCTACCACTTCCAATAATTTACCAAGGGTAACATATTGTCATGTTAATGCCAGTGTCTAGCTGTGATTCTGCTATTTATTTTATTTATTTATGAAAGCTCTTTATTGAAATATGAGTAAGCAGGTGACACAAATGTCGTATATTATGTCAACAATAATATTCTACATAATTTCATTGGAATTCCGAAATGGTTTTTAAATTTTCAGCTTCGTGTTGAACAATGGAAATGTAAGTGATAACTGTAAACTGCTTTAATTTGGCGTGTTGGGCAAATTTTGAATTTTAATTTGGTGAATCAACTATCGTATTGCTCACTCCACAGCTCGCCGCCACTGATAAGCCAATTTAATCCCTCCTGGTATCAGATTGTTTTATCAAAACCAGTGGGGACATTTTATCGATATTTCAATCAAGATTTTCTCTCAAGTTTTATTGTGCAAGGTAACACATGTAATGGAAAGGACACTGGATGAAAATACCAGGGAATTTCATTTTCAAAAAATTGGGAGACTTAATTTTGCGGTTTTCATTAATCCCCCAAATTAAAAAGGCCGTCAAATTAAAGCAATTTACAGTACTTGAGATGCAGTTAATTGCATCATATTAGAATGCTCATGTGAAATTAATGTTTTACAGGTGATGTTCGGTTTGTTGGTCCCTCAATTCAGCCCAGAATACCTATACAACCAATGTTCCAGCAATTTCCGAGGTAAATAATTCGTTTTCTAATTTACCATTTATAGCTTGAATTCTCCAAAACACTTTCCCTAATGCTTTGGCATGCTTGGTCACATTTGCTCAGATTTTCAGTACTGGTGCCCAGCTGGTGAGTATTTTGTTCAAAATTGTATTCAGTATTGAACAAATACTCGATGGGCCAGGCGCCGTAGTGAAAATCGGAGAAAATGTGACCAAGGCATTACATCAACTGAACACTTATATGCCTCATATCTTAGTACTACGAGTATTTATTAACAAAAGTCAATATAATATTTCTTAAACTACTGCTGTCCTTTGGATTAATTGGCCCCATATAAAGTTCATGTAAAATCAATCTCTGTCACTGAGATTCATATGCCTCATACCAAAGTTGTAGGAGCCCTCTTGTTTGAACCTGTCCAGTATATTGTTCTTACTAATGATACATCCAATCAGAATTAGACTTAGAATGAGCAGAAAAGCACTGACACCTGAAAACAAAACATACAATTTTCACAACATTACGATATAACTTTTTGATGAAACCTAATTGCATTCATTGTGTTCAATTTACCAGGATTCAAAGCCTTGGTGTCATCATTTTTCAATAAATGATATTAAATGGTATTAGATTAATTTTCTTCTATTTGAATTCAGTTCAATAAATGACACTCACTGGTTGCTTTCAAGATTAATTTAAGATTAGTAGAGTAAGACATGTCTAAGTATGTACTAGTTTATCATGAAAAGCTCAAGTTTTATCATTGTCAAATTATTTATTCAATTTAGCATACATATTTACCTTAGCCTACTCTACTTACTGAGTTATTGTGTATGAACATTAAAGTCTGGCTGATGTTATGGGATTCATTTATATGAGTTTTTATTAAAGGGCCCATTTTAAGTTTAAACCACTTTGGCTTATATTGTAGTCTTACTCAATGTTATAAAAATGCGATATGTAAAACTTTTTTTGTCGAAAGTGGTTTTTGAAGGACTTTCTATTGTTAAATACATAAATAAAAAAATGATTTATCTACCCATGAGTGACCAGACTATGGGTCCAACTTGTTCTGGTTGTATGGATACTCCGGCCCCTGCCTTGATAGCATCAGTACAAGTTTGTGAACATTCCACTGTTGTAGGCTTCTGAGATGGGCTAGGGTTACCAGTGGTAACATCGGGATCACCAGTGACTACCTCCGGCTTGGAAGTTGTTATAACTACATATAATAAAAACAATTTATGTAGAAGGTATAAGGGGAATGCAAAATACTTGAATTTTTTTACATGTAATAAGTATATTTCTTTCACAGCAATACAACTTTGTAAGGTTTTAGGCTTTTTGATTGATGGCAGGTTTGCACTTTTTGCTTTTCCTGCTAGGTTTCCTTACAATTTGTTGGTCCTTTCCATTTGGCATTTTTGCTAAGGTATTATTGTCTGTGTTTTGTATTGTTCGCTTTCACCATCTGTTGAAGTAATAGATTATTGTTCTAATGTAAAGTGAGGAAAGTGTGGTCCTATATTACTTAATACTGTCCCAATTCATTTGCAATACACTATCTGGTCCTTTAAACTTGTGAAATAATAATTTCATAACTTAAATAAACTCATAAACTGCTTACCTTCACATATTTCAGGTTCTACATCAACTACTTCGTAAATATAGTCACCCCAGAATGCCATTCTAGCCCTGTTCACATTTTCTATGTTCTGTATATCTGACACTGGTGTGGTCAATTGCTGGTATACCCTGGTTGACTCATTGTAGAGTTTCCATGTTGTGTGGTGGTTGAATGAAGTTGAACTGTTCGATCGTGGATTTGGATTGCTGCAATGAAATATGGCAACAAATCATATTCAATTAATCATTAATAATCTCAATTCTGTTTATAATCTTTTTTCATATTGAATTTGTTTCTACCTGTCAATGGATCTGTTTGGTTTTTTACTTATGTTGCCATTTGTGTTTTCTTATTTCACATCACTATAACTGTATGTTTTCACCATTTTGTCCTGCCCATGAAAGTCTTACCCAAATTTTGCAAAGTTGGCCCATGCCTCCATGAAATATCCACTGAGTTCTTGCTCCTCGATTGTTGCATTCATTGTCGGTGCATGTTTAGGGAAACCAAATACATATGGTATATCATCTGTATGGGAAGATAATATATAATCTGGCCTCCCTTGTGGTTGGTCCTTCAGGAATCGTGTTGATATATTTGCATTCATGAAATATAGATACATATTTGATTTCTTTGAGTAGTAGTCAGCAAATGTTTGAGTACTATATGCAAAGAAGAGATCTGTGATATAGTCATAGCATCCTTTACTGCGAATGGTTGAAGACTCATTAGGATCAGCATTGAAATCATTGTAGTACATCAGAACAGCTTTGCGGAAGTTATTTGTGTTTGTTTCTGTTGGATAACGTATTTGATTCTGAAAGAATCCAATGAAAGCTTCTAGTTGATCTTGGGTAATACCTTCATAAAGATTTGCACCAATAAGGCCCTCAAGTCCCCATAGGAAATATCCTTCATCACTGTTGTATCCAGCAAGATAATCTCTTTTCTCAAAGTTTCCTGATTTTAGTATATTATTTGGGTGATCAGTTATCAGTTTTCCATCAATAACTGGTGTGGGTGTTATTTTGAAAGAAGGATAAGATGATGGTAATTCAATCTTAATAGTTTCATATGCATCTCTGACAGCTTGAGTAGACTTTGTTTTCATGCAAGCTATCATTGCTTCTTCATTATCAGTTGAGCAGCTAAGCTTCTCTGCTATTGCCTCTGCCATTTTGGCTGGAGCTCCAGGGGATGCAACTCCCCAAGGGCTTGTTGCTACACCACTCTGAGATATAGCTCTGTGAAAAAGACCCTTTGTCAATGGAGAAAGCACTAGATTTGAAACTGAAGCACCTCCTGCTGATTCACCAAATATTGTCACCGCATCTGGATTACCACCAAAGTTTCTAATGTTACTCTGGACCCATTTTAACGCCTCTACAGTATCATATAGTCCATAATTACCACCTGCTGTTGCAGATTCGGTTGACAAAAATCCAAACACATTCAGGCGATAGTTAACTGTGACCACAATCACATTCTGGGTTACAGCTAAAAAGCCACCAAAGTAAATCCCATCACCATCCTCAAAAGCACCTCCATGAATGTAAAACATGACGGTGAGGTTAGCCATCCTCAACTCAGACTGACTCTGAGTATAGTCTATAGGACTAAAGATATTCAAGAAAAGACAATCCTCTGAAATGTTTCTGTCATCATAATCTATGAATAAAGGTTGAACTCTCTGGGGACAACTAGCACCATAGTGTGTGGCATCAAGTGTACCATTCCAACTTGAGTGAGCTTCGGGAAGTCTCCATCTCAACTCTCCAACTGGTGGAGCAGCATAAGGTATACCTAGGGAAAATGTAGATAAGTTATTGCCTTTCCCAGACCTGCACTGTGCTTATAACAGTACTTGAGAAGATTATTATCACAACAGTTTATGGCCTGGTTTTACAATTTTTCAGTCTCTTAGTACATGCCTGTTGAAATACTTACCTAGAAAGTTGGTAAATTGAACCATATTGTCTGGAGCAGAACCAGCTTTTACGGTTTGGTTTATTACAGCTCCCCTCAGTCTGCCATATGTTGTTTCTATTTCTGGGTGGTCTGGATTAGAGTTGTTCACAGCATCATTTGAGGGTACAGCTCCATTTTGTTTGTGCACTTCTCCTCTCATTGGACCGCTTGTATCAATCTCTGGGAATTTTGCAATTTGGCCAGTAATATATTTTGTAATTGCTAGAATGAAGACTGTATAAAATATGTATTTCATTGTGGCTCCTTTTAAGAACTCAAAGAACTTCCAAATGTACACATTTAATATTCAAAGACATTCGACTTGAGAAAATGACTCATTATCTAGTGACCAGTCAGCATATGTAAAATAAAGGCATGGCAATGTGTACAAGTATACACTAATAAAGCAAACATTAATGTCCCCTATCAGGCTGATTATATCACTAAGTACAGCATACCTGATAGTGAATGAATGGGTCATATGAAGATAAATTCCTTCATTCAAGGTAATGTGCATAGGTATGCATTGTTATCTTACATAAACCCTCAATGGCTTTATCATACATGCATATCAGTATGGACACTGATAGCAAGGGCAGAAGACCTGAACCTCTGACAGAGACAGAGTCAATTTAAACAAAACATCAAATATCCTGCATTTGCACATGTTTTTTTAAGTGAATATTTTTAATTTGTTTGGCTCAACAGTTCCAGCTGTCTCCAAGTCTCTAAAAATTGTAGGGCCTCAATATGTGGGCCTTTTTGGCATTACACAGGCCTTAAGTTTTCAAAATTTGGGCCCAATTTTTGAATTTAGAGGCTCAATTTTTTTGGGGTTGAACAGTCTTAATGGAGAAAACCAGACAGACACACTGCTGTGCTTATATAGTAAACCCTTGTATTTGCAGGTTTCCAGCCCACATGGGAGTTATAAGCAAAGCACCAAGAGGAAGAAAAGCATGGACTAGGTTGTCCAAGGAAAGTAGTCAATCTCCTAGCACATCAACTGAGAGTGAACCTTCTGGTAAGAACATGATGTAGTCTTAATAAGACTAAGACAACCAGATTGAGTCATTACACATTTTCAGCAACTGGGAGAGTAAATCTGGAGAGTGCATTTAATTAATGTATATATTATTGCGATATAAAGGGAGAGCCAGGAATATTGATGAAACATGTTAGATCCAACATGTTTTAAAAATAATTAAAAATACATTGTACATGTAGAAAGTAAAAACCAAAATGAGGTACTAAATGATATATTATATCTATCAACATTGTATTGTTTCTTCAAAACACCATGCAACTCATTCTCGACCTTTTGAAATTACTGTGTCTTATTCTTTCTTAAAACCTTCTATATATTCAGTGTCATGTTCTTCATCTCCAGGCTCTGTAGCTCTAGAAGTAACTGATGTTCAACCTCATATGAAACGCACTGAACTAGAAGCTATGCTGGAAGATCTGATAAATCAGGGGGTTCAGCTACGTTATCAGCTGGAGGACGTCAATAAAGGGACAAGCAACTTCTCTGTATCTGACTGTACTTGTATTCTAGCCATATTTGACAGTGAGTGCAATGCACAGACTGCTTTAGCGAACCAATCAAAAGGTTTGGGCTATACTTTAAGACCGTCGCAGAGGCAGTTGCTCCAACAAGAGCCTCTTAGTTGAAACAAAGATATTTTTATAGGCAATTTTAACTATTTTATTTAAAGGAATCACCAAGTTGTTTTTGTATTATGCGTGTTGTTTTTTATTATTTGTTTATGATATATGTGTTCTGGTGGGATTGAATTGTTGTATATTATGTTGGGTCATATATGCACCCCTTGTCTGTATTGAGTATTGACTGTTTTAATGCAAGAACCTATGTAAGTTAAATATAATAGGCTACACAACGGCTCAAATATGCAACATTGGATGCATTAGATTAGTCTACACATATGAAAAGGTTACATGGCAATTAAAAAATACTATGCTGGGCAGTGGTTTAACATGCAAAGCTACTAACTAGATAGTTAAAATGCTATGCAATGGTTTAGCTAATGCCAGGCTTCAGTCTGGTAAAAACATGCAGTGCTGTGCATTCCTTAACATGCTAGGCTACAAATTGTTTGAACATGCTAGCATGTGCATTATGTAATATGCTAGACTGGTAAAACATGCAATGCATTGGTTTAACATGCAACAAGAGTTCAAACTTTTAAACAAGCTAGCCTGTGTATTGTGTAATATACTAGGTAAACATGCATTGCTACATATATGCACTGTTTAACATGCTAGGTGTCATACTGATTATTTACATGCTAGGCCGCGGATCAATTTAAATGTAACACACTTTCTACATAACACTAGGTTGTGAAGCCATTCATGCAGTAACATATTTGTTCTGCATATCTTTTGAAGCAAACTAGTACTATACCATCAGGTGTGTTATTTTAGAAACCCCTTTCAATTGAATGCACACATTCTAAGCCTACAGTGAAATGGAAGGTAATGAGCCCAGAAGTGCTGTTATAACTACTACTTAGAATATAGTAAAACAAATTACATCCTTTAAAATGTGAAAAATAACTAATAAAAAATACTAAGTCAATACTTCATGGTTGCAATAATTGAGGTTTTGAACTTGGTCAACTAAATTTTGGATTTGGTCATGACCTATTACATGTTGATTTCTTTCACACCGTTTTGTCCAATTATCAAAAACAGTTGAATAATCCTATCCTAGATTTCATCAATGGAAAATATTTATTTATATATAGTCCAAAGTGGCTCCACTGAAGTGTGCAGAGTATGTCAACTTTGAGACTTTGCTAATAAATTAAATGAATTGCTGATTTTATTTGTCTTTAATAATTGTACTTAATCTGAGGTTATGTTATATTATGGATAACAGAGTGTGATAAATACATGTAGTTGCAATAAACACCAGATTTTGCATGCTTATTGCTTCGATATAATGTGCAATTATAAAAGGCCAGATCATTTACACAACTTTCCAGCAATATGTAAACGTTCTGTACAGTGTAATAATTGATTCAACATAATAGACTGACTGGTACATCTGCAAACAAAGGCTTGCATACAAATAGAAATAAATACTTATGAGGCTTCTCACGTTTGTCATTGAAAATACCTAATATGGGCTTAGTCAGGATGGTGGACCTCTACAAGGGTGAGGCAAATTTAGTAGGTGAGGCAAATTTTAAGCCAGTGTAAATTATTATATTTATATGAGACATACTTTTTTGTACTTTTAGTCGACTAAACATCCAAAAATATTTTCTGTAAAATTTTGAGGCCTCCTACCTTGCTACACCCATGCTATATCAAAGGTTAATTACCAACAATGCATTTTAAGAACAAATAAACAAAATGCATAGCTTTACCCTTCAACCATGAACCTCAGATTCACAGAAGATTGATCAATGTAATAACAAAGAGCGGAAGTCCAAAATTTTGAATTGTTCTAATGTTTTAAATCAGAATTGTGAAGAAAGGGCCATTATGAAGATGTTGGCCTCTTAAAGTGCATTATCTGCTTGCCTATATCTTCATGATGCCATTGAGAATTGTACTAAGCTTCATATTCAGGGTCAGCATCATAAGGATTTCATTCATACTTGGCAAACTTGAATTCCAGAACGATTGTCATGTTATTTCATGTATTCACTGAAATTATTGCATGGTCTGTAGAGATGGGCCAGTGTGTACACTAATTATGGCACACCCTGTTATAAATATCGGTTTATCATATAGTACCATGTATACACAGTCAGTTCCATTTGTATGTGTGTGTGTTGAGACATGTGATTATAGACCTTTGTTGTTATGATGTATATGGTTTGAACAAAATATGAGCTTATTTATTTGCAGCTTGGCATACATGTTTGTTGATTGTTGAACCCAGCCAGAAATACCTCTTGTTAAATGGTATACTGTTAAATTCGATGGTTCATTCAATACAATTCTTTGCACTCAAAGTATTGTTGCCCATTCTTGAAGTGCAGTAAAACTTGTGCAATGTGAATGTTCTTGTGATCAGATTTGACATGTTCTGTATATGTTAACATTTGACATGTTCTGTATATGTTAACATTTGGCATGTTTTGTATATGTTAACATTTGGCATGTTCTGTATATGTTAACATTTGACATGTTCTGTATGTGTTAACACTTTACTTATTCTGTATATGTTGCCAATTGACATGTTCTGTATGTGTTGACATTTTACTTATTCTGTATATGTTGCCAATTGACATGTTCTGTATGTGTTAACATTTGACATGTTCATGTTACCGTTTGACATGTTATTTATGTGTTAACATTTGAGATGATCTGTTTGTGTTAACATAGTTGAGGCAATGAATGTAAACGTGTAGGATGTTTTGAAACATGAGGGATCGACATGATTGATGTTGAGGCATTATTAAGGTTCAACAATATTCATTGTCAACATGATGAGGTATGACATGTATGACAGTAAAGTATCGTATGTCAGCATTTCCAATTGTTAACATATACAAGTTTTGCTGTATTTTGTTACTATTATGTTTCAAAATAACTGACAGGTGTGTCATAAGACTGATTGTTATACTTATTTGTTATTTTCTTATTCTCCAATCTGCATTGTTATTATACATGAATCAGTGGAACATTACATTATAAAGATATGAATCATATTTGAATACTTTGTTGAGTGAGCTTAATAGTGCTTTGTAGTTACATACGTAGTTACATTGTTAGTCAGCCATGGACCCCAAAGGGGTTAATAACACAAAATCATTTGTCTGAATTTCATTTAGAGTTTTTCAATTTGTTGCAGCAGAAAATGGCATATGAATCATAATAGTTAAAAATAAAAAATAAGCAAATTTAAGATGAAACATTGATGATATATTAAGAGTCCTACACACCCTTTACTTTATTAGGTCAAGGCTCCTATAGACTTTTGTATACAAAATACCCATGGGTCTTGCTTTGTTTTGGGGTCTGTTTTTGGAACCGTCTTAACTTACGATTTGGTCGCAAATCATTTTTCATCAAAATTCAATCAAAATACCCATGGGTCTTGCTTTGTTTTGGGGTCCTGTTTTTGGAACCGTCGTAACTTACGATTTGGTCGGAAATCATTTTTCATCAAAAGGAGACCATGGTTTTCTCAAAATCGTAATTTACAATCATACCAAAACAGGCCCGTAGCCAGGATTTGCCAAGGGGGGGTTCATTTTTCAAAAATTTCCAGGGGGGGTTCACATTTGACAATTTTAGCCAAAATATGGCTAAAATCACTTGAGAAGAACTCAAAATGGTGAAAAACTGCATGATTTGAAAGAATTTTTGGCCAGGGGGGGGTTCGTCTGAACCCTGCGAACCCCCCCTGGCTACGGGCCTGCCAAAATGAACCCCCGTGTCACTTCCTAATTTCAAAAAGAGAAATGAATTCATATGAACTTAGAATGGTACTGAGATTAGGATAAAATGTATTCCATAAATAAATCCAACAATACATAATTACCATGGAGAAATTTATTTAGACAATATTTTGGATTGTATACATTCATGTCACCTGTAACGCCCCTTGGCAAAGATAATGTCACTTTTGAACACTCCTATAATAGAAGTTTGGGCTACCTGGGACTGTAAGTGACAGTGATAGCACTTTTTATGCCGTTTGTCTGTAGACTAGAAATATTACCCACTGGAAGCAGGCATTCCAGTAAAATGTACAATCAAAAATTGTTGTATTGGCCGATCAGTGTTATGCTTGAAGCTGTAGTCAGTACAGTACATATATATTCATCAGAATAAACAGAGCAACTGTTGTCTCTTTTGAAGAATCTTTTTTTGGCTTGTATTATCTCTCCTCATGACTGTTTTCGTAAATGCAGTTCATACATGTACAGTAAAACCTGTCAAAGTGGAGCACCTTTGGTACCTCTAAAGTGTAGCACCATTTATAGAGGTTCATGTATCACTTTAAATTTATATTAAGTCAGTTGGTCTTGGGACTCTGAAAGAAGTGTTCTACAGAGGTGTTCCACTTTAACCTCTTGATTACCCAGAGTGACGAGATTTTTCAAACCCAGAGTGACGAGATAATCTGTCTCAAAATTTTTTCATTAAAATTACTCTAATTTGAACAAATTTCATCCATTTTACACAAAATAACTGAAAAATATGTAGAAATGATATCTGCCAACTATTGCTACTAAATTGAGCATAATCTATTGTATATGCATGTATTGAGATGTCAAAAGCTGGCAAAAATGAAAAATTCTCTGGTTTCACACCAATTTTAGAGCCTGGGATTCAAGAGGTTAACAGTTTACACTGTACTTTGAAAACATTCATTCTGATTTTTCACCCACACCCTCTGGCAAGCCATTTCAATTTAATGCTCATTGCTTCTTGATTGATTGATTGAACCCCCCCCCCCAAACTTAAAGAAGCAAAAAAGCAGGAACTTAATTGTGGTCAAATAGCCATGACATGTAAATATACAATGATTCATCTGCAAACCTTTTTAAGAATGTACACTGCTATTAAAAATTATGTTGTCTGCATTATAATTGCTGTTTGTTATTTCTGTAAACCAGAATATTGAATAAATGGAAATAATTTTCTCTATAACAAGAGACTACTTTCTTTATTTCAGTTATTTATAATCCTTGACTCATGTACACAATTTTCCCAACTATCAATTATTTTAAGCTTAATATCAAGTCAATGCAGCAAATAATATGAAATACCATGATACTATTACTTTCTGGTGAATAACACCAGTACAGGGAATATAATTGTTTGGTCCCTCAGAAAATATCATGTTGGCCCTCAGTATGGAGACATTTCTCAATATTTCCCAGAAGTTAACCTCTATTTATAGACAATGCTTATTATTTTGCATAAGAACTTAAAAATGAACAAAAAATCAATTATTCATGATTGTCAAAAGATACAGTTATTGTATATTTATTTAAATAGAACTACAGTAAGCAGTACATGGTAATTTGAATATAATATAAATAAGTATATATCGTGGGGAAACACCAGGGTTATGTTATGGGAGGTTTCCGATATAGGGTATATCTTGAGGGAAATATAGATATTTTACAGAGGATGTCATATTTCCAGAGGGATATACCCCATATTCAAAGCAGAGCATCACATAACTAATTTAACCTATGACAAGTAAGGTTTCACAAATGAGGTTTTCAGGACACCATTGAAGTGTTCTCATTATTTTTGAGAAATCCATCAACATTTTGGTCTAGAAAAGTTCTACCATCTGCTGCATCTATTTTGACAGAAGCAAGAAATTCTAACAAATTGACTGTGTCTATACTGAACAGCAATGTTTTCCAGGGGAATTTGGATTTGGGTGTCCTGAAAACTTCACTTGTGAAACCTCACTTGCCATAGGATAAATTAGTTATGTGATGTTTTGTTTTGAATTATAGGATAGTATATCCCTCGGAAAATATGTTATCTTACCTAGGACCCTCTGGGCCCTCAGTAAGATATCCATATTTCCCTCAGGACACAACTTTTTGAGAATTGTTGGACTTTTCTTTTTATTCAAAAATATTCTAAACAAGAAATGCTTTAGAGGAATTTAAAACTTATGGTTACACAGGGTGGGAAAAAATGTTACCCATTCTGATTGTACACTATTGCTAATTTGGATTGCATTTTGGGCCCACCTTGTATGTTCTAATTAATGAAACCACATAGAACAGAAATATACTAATTTCTCATCACTATTTTCAATTTGGAAATGTATTAAATTTTTCTGTGTACTATCTTCCCATGTATACACAGACAGCAATGCCTCAAGTACACTTTCACCAAAGAACAGACATGACGATTTCTGCACTTTATATGTCAAAAGATCTCCCTCAAAACCCTCATAAGCGCCATCTTTACATGCCATATACCCTGCATCTAAGCAATACCGGAGGTAAATAGCCATGTTCACATGATTATTCATGTCCAAATCACTTGCGGACACTTTGATACTGTATGAATAAGAGCTGTTTGGTTTGTTCATATTTGTTGTAAATTTTATCTTTGAAATTTTCATGAATTCCCGATATTTTTCAGTGAACCAAACAGGAAGTGGGACAGCTTTGCGTGAATTCCAATCAACGTGCACTACCTGACTCTCAAAAGTGGCAATCGCCTCCCCATTGTGTATTATCGATGAGGCGAGACATATTGAAGAGTTTCCCACTGACACCAGCTTGTCTTCCACATATATTTGACGATCTTTGATTTTTTCAAAGCTAAGATATCCACCAAGTTCACCACTAAATTGTGGATTATGCAATTCAAAGAACTTTTCGCTGATTCTGTAATTAGATGCCCGCTCAAACGTGACATGAGTTCCCCTTGAGGTAAGTGTCAACAAAGATGATATGTCAGAGTAAAAACTCGAAGAACGTGCATTGCTGAATTTTTTCGCTATGTTGAAGATGTTCAGTCCACCTGAAGAACATGAGAAATTAACAAAATAATTTAAAAATAATTATCAAGTTAACATAAATCAACCAATGTCTCAGTAACATCTGATCTACAGCAACCATATGGTATGGCAACCATAGCTTCCAAAAATTGAGAAAATATGCAGCATAAAATATAGGGATAAGCAGTATAATGTGGGTTTTCAATATCAATTTTGTGAAGCTGCCACTCCATGCCCACTATAGAGTAAATGTGACCAAGGCTTAAGCATTCATTAAAATATGTGTATAGAAATATGTCAAAGACCACTGACCTGCACAAACAATCTGATCATGGAATAGAGAGTTTTCATGAAAGACATCAAGTTAAGAATGTACAAAAGTAATTAATAAAAAATGTTATTGGTATATATTTTGAATACCATATTCTCTCTAAAAGGGAAAGCTATTAGGAGATTCCAATTAGCACATATCCAAAAAATCTAGAAAAAATACTGCAGATAATCTTTTTTGCTGTTCACTAAGTTTTACATACTCTACAGCTCAGTATTTCTTCCTCTGCACTAAATACAATCATCAATCGTCATTTTGTTGTGGAGATAATCAAAACGAATGCATTTAACTTCATGTTTTCTTGGGACCATATTCATCATAAAAGTCACATGATCACTCATTGTAACTGTGAACTAACTAGAGGGATTATGTTGTATACAGGGTGGTCCAAAAAAAGTGAACCCCTGCAACGGGCCATATTTCCCTGATTACTTGCAGGAATTCTTTTTTATTTTCCTATGTTGTAGAGGAAGGTCTAAAATTTATGTTGGTTCCATACATTTTTCTTAGTCTTAAAATTTGCAGAAATTATAAGCCCTAACCAAATATTACTGAAAATGGATAAAATGTGATTTTCAATATCCGCGATTCTTCAACCCTTCAACACCTTTCCCATGAGAATTTTTTAAGCTGCAGTCTTAAAGAACTAATATTTTCTGACTTTGTTCAATTTTAAATCCTGCACATTATGGCTTAAAACTAGCATCCTACCTTTGTTTGTTGCAAAGTTATTGTGATCCAAAGAAATGTGCCAAGCTTCCACAGATGAAAACATTTTCCTGTGAAATCGCGAGCATACCCCTATATGATCTTGAAATGTCAATATCTTCATAAATCATGGACCAATTCTAATTAAGTATGGCTCAAAACATTAGAAATTGGATTTTCTTTTGATTTTTTAAAGATATTTGATGAAGGGATTATCAGATTCCTGGTCACAGGGGGCAAATTCCTTCCATAAGATAAGAGCCCCCCCCCCCCCCTCTAACTGTTGGTGTCGGTAACATACCCCTGAACTGTTAAACAGTTAAAACTGCTTCAAAATGATCAATGAAAGTGTGAAATGTGTTTTCTGCTTAAATAGTGTCCCTTTTGTCAAATGGTAGGGTTTTAAACTTGTATCTCTAACTGAAAGCTGTTTAAGATCATCCAATGTGTTTCAAAAATTTCCAAGAATCACATTTGTAAAATTTTGTACAATATCTAATTTTCAGGCATGTTTGTTACACTTTTGTAATTTCTTCAAAATTTAAGACTGAGAATAGATTATGGCATCAACCAAATTTTAGACCTTTCTCTTCAACATGTGATAATATGAAATGTGTTTTCATGCATGTATTAAGAAAAATATAGCTTGTTGCAGGGGTTCACTTTTTTTGGACCACCCTGTACTTTGATCAGTCATAAAAAGTTAATCTTGGTACTCTGCATCTTTCACATACATACTTTGAAAAGGGAGTGAAACTGACCTAGTTTGTTTCAGAGTTTACTTGAAGCTCTTCCTTGATAAAATCTTAAAATGCAATGATGAATTGGACGTCCTTTCTCATTGGCTATTTGGAAATACAATGTATCCTTTTCTTCTTCAGTGTCCCATGTATAAACACATAGTTCCTCCCCAAGGTTACTCTCCCCATCATAAAGTTGTTCAATCTCCTTGCAGCGGTATTGGGCAATATCTCCGGGGAGATTTCTATAAAATCCTGATATTCCTGCTTGATAGCCAGCATCAAGACAATACCTAATATATGCTGAATTTGTTACGTGATTATACATATCAATATCTGAAGGAGTCACAACCATGTTGTACTGGAAAGCTTGAATGGGCCTAATCAACTGGGCCATATTCCTTTTCGCAGTTCCATTTGCTGTTTTCACCTTGTTTCTATACCACTCGGGCAATCGGGTGGGGCGTTTGGTTTCCTTAGAAACATAAACATCCTGGCCGAATAGAGTAACCATTTCCTTTCCATTTAAAGTGAGGTCATATCGAAGATATCTGGAGGAAATGCCAGTGGATATAGCTTGCCATATACACACAAATGTATGATCTGGACCATGTTTTTTCATGGAATACAATTCCTCGTTTATCCTGTATTTCATCGACCTCACAAAAAACAGAGCTGGCGATGAGTTGATTAGCATCCAGAAATCACTGTGCTCATTGCCAAGCTCAAACAGCATTTGAGTTGAAGAAATTCTTGCTAGTAGCTTAGTTAGACTAACATTTCCTGGAAGAAGACAAGTTGTTAACTGATGTTACTGTAATGGTATATATGTAATGTAAACACATGATTTACCAGTTGAAAGTATAGAAAAACCTGTTCAATGTTAAAGGTGCTGTATAAAAACAGATAATTTTCATCCTAAAATTACAAACTATTTTTTGAAGTAATCTATCGTACTTGCTGCATAATCAGTTTGAGTGTTGCATGCAGCACAATTATTGTAAACCATACATGCTGCACAATCTTTCTGGGTGATGCCTGTTACACAATCATTCTGAAAGATGCTGTATAATCATTTTGAGTGATTTATGCTGCACGATTATTCTGAGTGAAGCAAACTGTACAATCATTCCAAGAGATAAATACTGCACAAATCTAAGTGATACATGTTGCACAATCATTCTAAGTGATACATGATGAACAATCATTCTAAGTGATACATGTTGCACAATCATTCTTAATGATACAGTCTGCACAATTATTCTAAATGATACATCCTGCACAATCATTCTGAGTGATATATCCTGCACATCATTCTAGGTAATTACATCCTGCAAAATCATTCTGATTATTGATGCTTCTAGATAGCATTAGTATGTGCATGTAATTATCCGCATGTAAAATTAACATAATTTTATCAACTAGTACTTGACTGAATTTATTAAAACAACAAATGCTTTGGCACATATGGAATATGACTCCATTAATATTTACAAATAATGTATACAATGTACATTATTAATTACTATAACATGTGGAATGTATTTTAAGTTTTGTTCAAAGTGACAGACAGTAAAACATGCAAAGGTGTGAAAAGTTGAACACATGGACTTTGTTTCAGAAAACATTGTACAGTTTGAAAAACTCTGTATATATTCTATATATGTTGTGTAGGCTATGTCAAAATTACTGATAACTTAGACAAGAAAGATAAATTATTCTGAGCTACTTATCTCAACAATGTCAAATAAATCAAAATGTGGGTCTAGTGGCAATGGCAATATATCGGTACATTGTATATTGACCAATTCAAGTTATATTTTCTGACACCCATGTGTAGTTTATAAAGTATAGTTTGCTGTATGAAGATTGGACCAGCAATGTGATTAGATCTAACTTTATGTGCTAGTATGGACCTGTAAGGGATGATGTTCAAGTGTTGACAATAGTAAAAACAAAGTTCCCTTCTCCCCATATTATCAGAATTAGAAAATGGTGATAAGCCATCAACTTGAACTTCAGTTAAAAACTATATTTTCACGAACAAAATAACAATTTAATTCCTGTATGTAATGTAACTAGATTCTTCTAACTGTTAAATCCTCAACATTAAACAAATTACAGTCAGCACTACTTGCCCATTCAAATCTCCTTTGAAAGACCCACATTTTGATTCCTCAATTGCAATATTACATATACAGTCTGGAGCATGAATAAATGAGTCATGGATTTGCTGTAGATTTCTCATGTTAAAAATAGAAGCCATACATCAGTGAATGAGAGTATACAAATTGTAAAATATATAAATTTTAGGGGATATGTATTTAGACAATATTGGAAACTATGGGCTTTAAAATGACCATGGTTTGGAAATTAAATTGTGAAAGAAAATCGACTACTCATTTATTTATGGTCCAAACTGTATGTTTGTTCGACTTGTTTGGCTTGCAATAATGCAAGAAATGCATTTCCACAAATAAGTTACAGTGTTCAGACTGCCTGTCCTCTGATTTATTTAATTATAAATAGAAATTGTTGGAATGTTCTTATAAATTTACGAAATAGTCACATCTCAATGACTTTTGAAGTTGGTCATTCAAATTATAACTTTGCTGAAGCTGGATTACAAAGAGTAAGCCTACAGTGAAATATTGCTCGGTTATTTTTGTGAATTTGAAAGAACAGTAAATCTTTTCTTGTTCCATCTTCCCATGTATGTATAACAAGTTGATCTTTAACCAGACTTTCCCCTGTATATAGAGCTTGGAAGTCTTGGACATGGTACATACACATGTCTTGTTTGAAGTTATGGAATTCACCCCCTAAGGAGGCACTCGTTGCTGCGTCCATTCCATATTTTAAGTAAGATGATTGGTTTGTATGCCCATTTCGGTCAGTGTCGCTATATTGAACAGTGACATCATAAGAAAATGTTTTGCTTGGTAGTGATAACGGTGCCATCGTATCAGGCCTTGTTTCCAGAGTTGTAAGTGGCCTGTACTTCTGGATGAACCAATCAGGAAAAGCTTGCGATTTACGATTTGTGCGATTCACATAAACATACTGGAACTCGAGACTTCCGACATGTTGATTGGTCAACTGTTCCCGTATTTCAATTGTGAGGTTAGTGGATGTGCGTCCAATGAACGATAGACTGGTCGTAGCCTTGAGGGGCCAGTTGATAGCTGCTGATTGGTATAATACATCAGATATTATGTAATGTCCAGACCGGATAAACATTGTTCCATCATTTGCCATCAATTTATGAAAGTCAAGGTAATTGCCAGACAATGAGACGAGGAGCCTTGCACTTTCAAACAGCTTTGAGATCTTCCATATACTCACATTACCTGGAAGCCAATTTATGCACAGTTAGCAGGGGTTTCATTAGCAGCTGGCAACAGGCGATTTTCATTGGTTGTTTTCACAAAATCGCCTGTTGTTTTTAGGAACTTTTCCATGTTAAATTTATGATTTCCATTAATTTTGCGTGTTGTTTTTATTTATTTAGCCTGTTGTGAGAAATTCTAGTGAAACCCCTCAGTTAGGAATGCTGTCCAGATATCAACATTGGTCAAGTAGCAGGGTCAATCATTTTAAAGGGAAGTGGTAAATTATGATTTTTGGAAATTTTGAATTTTGAAAAAATGAAGTGAAAGGCAAATCAATATCAAAAGGGAGTGGGAGGGGTTAATTATTATCTTACCTTTGTTTTCCACAACTGTCACCATCTGAATACTATCCCTTATGTCTGATCAGAAATAACCTATTTGCATGTACCTAGGCAAGGTGTGTCAAACTTCAGCCAATCAGAACATGCTTTTTCATATAACTGCATTGCAATATACTTCTCTAATACACCCAAGGCCAAATCAAAATGAGCTCTGCGAAACTTTTCAACTTAATTTCAAATGTTGAGCTTTTTGTAAAATAAAATGTTAGTTGTCACACCCACATATATTGTAAAGCAAAAAAAAGCCATACACACTGACTATCATTTCATATTACACATGGTTAAACATTGTTCTCATTGGTCAGAAAGTGCATGTCCAGCTAAATGTGATTTTTCAAAATATTTAAGGATTTAAGCCCAAAATAAGAACACATTTTAATTAAATTTTTTGCAAGAGTCAAGTTGGTAAGTCATCAAATCCAATGTGAAAAATCCATCCATCCCCATGACAACTGTTTAACTAGTGACCTTGCATGTGTTGTTGATATTTCACACATTGTTCATTATGTGAATACTCTGTTTGGATTGTCTGGAATCTGACACACCTTGCCTAGCTATGTGTGAATATTAGGATCATTTTTCATAAAATGTTGAAAATGTTTTTCTTAAAATTCCTTGTGCCATTACCTGTTCTGTCAAAGTCATCGTAGGAAAGACCTGGTAGAATGACTTCTGCCCTGGTTTTCTCAGGATTCATTTTCACTTGCAAGTTGAACCTCCTAAAAGCATACAATTTTTCCTAATAATCTTTCTTTTATGCATCATACTGGTATGTTCATTTCTCCTTGATACAAACCTTTTGTATATATCTGATATGTAAATATATTTTCTTAAAGAATGACTTTGAATATTGCCAAGTACAGGACATTAAGTGGAGCTTAAGCATGCAGATATTTGCAAATATTTGCACCACCCACCCCCCCCCCCCCCCTCTAATATTTTTTGCATAGGCTAATATAGGTCTATAGGCCTGTAAGATTACAACTTGGGAGAATTATCCATGCCCCTTAAACTTAAGATACCTACTTCAATAGATTCCTTGGTATTTTAGCATGCATTTCGTGTAGTTGTCTGGGTTTATCGGCAGAACGAAGAAATTTCATTTTTGATCGCAATGTTTGCGTGTAATATTTAACTTATTTCAACCGTCAAATTCCTCCATTTATTGGTACTTCCTAGCCACTTCTGGGAATCCCCTTTTAAATCCAACAGCCATCTTGAAAAGTGATGGAATCTCGATGAAAAAGAAAAATGTTCCCGTTCTGCCGATATACCCAGACAATCGGCGGTTCCAATATATTAGAAGTTATATTTTGAGTTCTATAATACATTAAGATAGGTATCTTAAGTGTAAGGGGCGTAGATAATTCTCCCAAGTTGTAATCGTAAAGGCAAAAGATTGCGCTCGGTTCAGGACTATAGTCCTGGCACGGGATAATAGGGAGGGGTGACTTACACACGATGGCCTCCCATGCATTTATCATTCTAGGCTGACACTGGATCATAATACATAAAGACCGTCAAAGTTATAAAACTAACTTTGACTATGTCTCATTACATAAGAGAATATTTGATGAAATTAACGTGAACTTTTGATTTGAAGAAAATATCAAAATTTTTGTTGAACTTTGCAGCCAAATATTTTCAATATTCATATCTACAACGCTGAACTTGCTTAAATCAATGGCATGTAGTAAAAAAAGCACGTATCATTTTAACGCCAACACAACGTACATTTATAAATCAAGTCTTACGTACCTTGCAAGAGGGTTTTTAGTAGACAATCTTTCTTCACCTGGCATGTTTTCTTTTCTTTGTGAACTTTGACCCCACAGACTTCGAACTTGTTCCGTTAAAAAGCAAACGTTAGTAATTTTGTGTTGTGTTCGCAATTTTAGCACTCTTCAATTTTCAAGAAATAGGATACACTGAATGTGGCATTCACAAAGATGACAGAATTTTGCTTAGGAAATACATAAAGAAATACTCCATTTACTATTTATTTAGGATGAATTTCCTAAGAAAAACTCTGCCATCTGTGGTGGCATTGGTGCATATGGCTTGGATTTCTCAGGCGCAACCTCGGGCCGTCAAAAGGGCCTGGGAAGGCCGTTGGGGCGACCCCCCCCCCCTTTTCCCAGAATTTTTTAGATTTAAAACCGATCCTAAAATTGAAAGCTCTTGAGAGCTAAGTAAAGCCAAAATGTAATAATGACAGAAATGATACTATGTCATTATCTAGTCTACATCAAGCAATGTTTTTAATTTTATTAAAAAACATTCAAATGTATTATTTATTGCTTGCGACACATAAATAAACTATATTTTATTTCGGAAATATTCTTTGAAGAATAAGTGTGAAATGTATATTTTAGTAAAATTTTAGTCAACGTTTTTTAGTCAAAGTCAAGCTATTTTCATAAAAGCACAATTTTCTTGTTTTTATTATTGGGGATGTTGTGCTGAGATATGTTCAGACTGCACCAGAGAGGTTCTAAAAGACCATGTGCAGTATGGCAAGTAATTTTAGACGGTCATATCTTTCACCATGAGTACTTTTTGGGCATAAAAACAGTGTTTTTTATTAAAACAATATGTTTTCTTTCAAGTGAAGTACCCATGATGATAAAAAGATCAATCGAACAATTCGAAAAATTATGAATGGGGACCCCATGTCAACATTTTTTCACAGTATTGAGCCTATTTAAACAAAAGAGGATCTTCTTTTTCTGATTTTTATTGCATCAAAAGATTATTCAACAAGGGCTCTAAAACATCTTCAAAATTAGAATGGTATTGAAAGTTTAGTTTTGAAGATATCAATTGCTGAAAACAATAGACATACGAGTTTTCCCTATGGGAAAATAACATGGGATATGTGGTTTTTAACTTAACGCATTTCAATACCCATCGATCCCTTTTCAGAAATTGTTAATATAGTGTAGAGGAGACTTTCGATATGTTTTTGTAATGTTTTTCGATATATTTTTTAAAAAGCGCCAAGGTTGGGCCCTAATCCATAATTTATCATAGAGTTAGATTGATATTTTACTATTATGGGGACTTCGACTTGAAAGAAAACATATTGTTTTAATAAAAAACACTGTATTTATGGCCAGAAAGTACACATGGTGAAAGATATGACTGTCTAAAATCACTTGCCATACTGCACACGATAAGCTGATTAATGTCACAGTTGATCGAGTAAAAATCTATAAATAGTATCATAGGGAATAACAAGCCAAGTGCTTATGTAGGACAAGTGTTGGATGGATTGACCCTTGCAAAAAGTTCCTTAAATACATATTCTTTTAATGTATTTTGACTGATTCATTCCACTCAGGTGTTGTTTCCTTAACTCGGCTCGGTAGCACTCGATGTTACACTTCTCTTGCAAAGTTTGAAACAACGCCTTCAGTAAAATTTTAAATATTTGGAGCTACAGTAAAACCTGTCTAATCCGAACACCCATGGGACCAGCCAAAAGCGTTCAAATTGGCAGGTGTTCAAATTTCCAGGATTTTGTTGGTCGGGGGCATTTTCATTCATCCTTCAAGATCGGTCCTTCACTGCTTTCATATCATATAATGTAATGCAATGAATTACTCTTGGGCCAAGGATGTTTTCATTGTTCAGTCCACTATATATTGAACACTTAATATTAAGTAAGGGGAGGCATCAAAAGTTCAATGTCTGATAGGAAACTAAATAAATCTAGTTTTGAGTTGGACCCCCCCTCCCCCTCAAAACTAAATACAATGAAAGTTGATCGCGGACTTTTCACATGTTTTAGCGACTCAATTTGGACTTTCATGGGGCCAGTACTATAACTTATTTATGATTCTTAAAACATGTGCCAACAACAATAGGCATAATATTCCATGTTGCATGCATCTTGGTGAAGAAGGCATCTGGTAAAGTCTTTATTTTTAAACCATTCCAAGGCATTTTGAGTCGAAATTGCGAAAAATTTAAATGTTGAAATTTGTCGGATAGCAAACTGAAATAGCTTTGACCCCCTCCCCCCCCAAACTAGATTTATTTAGTTTTCTATCAGACATTGATCTTTTGATGCCTCTCCTAAGAAAACAATACATGCTGTTTATTCTACAATAGGCCTATAGCCTATATGCTATTTTTATTTACATTTTGAACAATTTCATTATTTTAGTAAAAATAACTTATATTTTGGCAAAAAATTTGTAATACACTGACAGTATAAGTATATGATAGTCTCCTACGAAATCTTATGCTTCTCAAATGACTTATCCCATATTATGGTTATATAGCACTGCTTTACGTTTGCTTGAAAAAGTCCTTCATTGTTGTTTGTTTTTTGGCACTTTTAGCATTAACAATATTTGAGTAGATATCCTTTTCAAGTAAAAAGAATTTTTCATGAGTGTTCATTCGAGACGATGTATAATCCTCCCTTTTTAGGAGGCATTTTAGTGATAGGATAATACGAAGCTGAATTTTTTCTCTTTCTCGTGAAATCTTGTCTGCAATTGTGTCTGTGTTGTCTTTATGATTATAAAACATTTACTGATTGAATCTTGGCTATCATAACAGACCCATGGGATATAAAACATCTAAGACCTGTTCATAATCCAAATCAAAAACATCCAGTTAATTTACAATAAGGATAAACCAATTATCTCCCAGATTCTCACCTTTCTCTTAATCCAAATCAAAAACATCCAGGTAATTTCCAATAATGATAAATCATTTATCTTCTTGATTCACACCTTTCTCTTAATCCAAACATAAAACATTCAGTTCTTTTCTAATATGATAAACCAATTAACTCGTGTATTCACACCTTTTCAAATCATCCTGTTGTTTTCCACAAATAAGGATGTTAAGGATGTCACTGAGACTAAATAAGTCAATTAGGACAGTATTATGTTATGTTATGTTATGTTATTTTATTTACCATCTACAAGATGAGTACATATACATAAATATGTTACAAAAATAAATATACGAAAAATACTACAAGTTATATGTATGTTAGATGAGCAAAATTAATATGCTCATATGTCAGAGAATGCTATTATTTACAAGGATTTAAGAAGGTAATCCCTTCTTTTGTGCATTTCATATATCGTGTCCAGCAATGGAAGCATTATTTCAGGATCATATTCGCTCCCTCCACCGAAAATGAAACATATGAATTCACAAAAGTTGTTGACTCCTAGTTTATATAATTCACTAAATAGATTGTATCTTATATCTATATACGCTGGGCACAATAGTAAAAAATGCTGTACGTCTTCAGTGACATTTAAATTGCATAGTAAGCATACTCGTTCAGACATTGGTTGTCCGTAATTAAATATCCTGTATGTTCCTGATATCATTTTCATTATAACTTTACATTGTGGTAAGCGTCTTGGAAAACGCCTGGCAACTTCCCACCATAAAAATGGTTTTAAAACAGTGAAACATCTCAAAATTGGTCTCAGTGTTGGATATAAGGAGCTAAGAACGAAAAAGCGTCTCATCTCAAACGACTGGACAACGTTCATGACTTTTCTCTTCCAGACACATTTGAGTGGTGTCTTAGCAGTAGTTATCATATTCAAAACGTCCCCATGTAGGTCGTATTTCATTGTTGTTTCCCACATTGAGACCAATGGAGATTTACTTGAGCGATAGGTTCCAATGTGGATTATACTCAACAGTCGATAAATGCATACAATTTTATAAATACATTGTACCGGTAACGATAAGACGAACCAGATGAACATAAGGCGATCTACATCGATTCGCGCTTGAACTGAAAGCCATCCGAGTGGTTTTATCGCCATCGGGTCAGGGGTATTTACCAGGAAGCTTTGTATTCTCTTGCCAATGGATCTATGTGCATCCTCCATAGACTCAATTTCGGTTATTGAATATTGCGTTACAGAGCTGCCATACGTCATTGTTGGGAAGCAAAAACTCCAGTATAACTTGGAAGCTAGCAGAGGATTTAAGCTACCTACATTTGCTCCTAAACCAAGCAGAGAAAAGAATTTTCTTTTACTGCGTGAAATCAAATTTGATACATGCTCTGAGCTTTTGCCTAAAGGTATGCCAACATGTATAGCAGATTTTTCTACTTTTAGAATATTCTCTCCTAATTTGCATTCACAAAAAGCATTTTTGTTTGTACCAAACTTAAGCACTACACATTTTCCTGGATGAAACTCAAACCTCCACCTTTTACTATACATGTCAGCAATGCTCAACAGAGCATTTAGATTTTCTGGATTGTTTGCAATTAAGGCAATATCATCAGCGTATGCTGGACATGCTACAGACGTTTCACCAATTCTTACTCCTTTTGCCGAATCTACCAGTTGTTGCAAAAGGTCTGCTATAAAGAACTGGTAGAGAAACATAGAACATATCCCGCCCTGGTGAACACCTCTATTAACAGGAAAAGTATCCGATAAAATACCATCTACAAAAACCTTACATTTATACTTGTTATATGATTGATACAAGAGCCTCCAACATAAACCATTTCACGGGGTACCATCGATTAATTTTGGCAACGTACCGGAGAACGACATTTTACTAAGAAATGGCAATAATTTAGCACAATATATTTTTTAACTAGAGTTCTACTTTGATTTTGACAAAAGTAAGTATTCCATGCAATGGCTATTTCAATCCTGAGTTTGTAGGAATTCTGTTGGAACCCAGTTCTGATCAAGTACGAAGTTATTGAAATCGGCGCAGTCGGACTTTACTCCGAAAGATGGTTTTTCGATTATAACTTTTTACAACATTTAAGTATAGACTTTTGAAAAAAGTACAGAATAGTCCTTATACTATTGAATAATTCTGTTATTTCCGATTCACACGACTCTGATTTGTTTAATTAAAAAAAAAGTTTTAAAAATATTACTTAGGAACGTAACCGGAGCTGGGAACGTAACCGGAGCAGATCAGTTGAATTATATAATTTAAAAAAATGAAATATATGATTTAAAGCATGTATATTAATAAATACGCATTCGAACAATCCCGTATGTTTTTAAGTTATAATCGAAAAACCATCTTTCGGAGTAAAGTCCGTCTGCGCCGATTTCAATAACTTCGTACTTGATCAGAACTGGGTTCCAACAGAATTCCTACAAACTCATGAATGAAATAGTTATTGCATGGAATACTTACTTTTGTCAAAATCAAAATAGAACTCTAGTTAAAAAATATGTTGTGCTAAATTATTGCCATTTCTTAGTAAAATGTCGTTCTCCGGTACGTTGCCAAAATTATTCGATGGTACCCCGTGCATTTATACCACAATTATATAACTTATGGAACAGGCCTCGTATCCATGTACTGTCAAAGGCCTTTTTATTGGTTCTTTGATTACATTGTACATGTATATGTAAAGATAAATAACAACAATAACATTGACTCAATATGTGGCTATTATTGAAATGTCCAGACATTTGATTTCTGATAAAAATGTTCAGATTAGACAGGTCACTTTTTCATATCTGGTTGTTCACTGTTCAGATTAGGAGGTGTTCAGATTTCAAGGTTCATTTAACATGGGAGTCAATGGGAGGAAAAAATGGGACCGAAAAAAGTATTCAAATTGGAAGGTGTTCGGATTAGCCAGGTGTTCAGATATACAGGTTTTACTGTACTTTGAATCTTAAAAAGTAAGCAATTAAAGCACCATATTGAAACAGAATATGTAAAAGTAGAAACATGTCCTAACGTTTGTATATTTTAGTTTGTTTTGTAGTTTAGCTATCATATCTGTGGCCTCTTATATTTTGATGCTTCTCTGCCATGTTATTTTCGAAATTAAGATGGCTGAAACTCCCTAAATTACAAAAGGCCACAGATTTGCTGCACATTATACATAACTATCTGAAATATAGGACTTGTACATATGTTTCTATTTTTTCATATACTGTTGCAATATAGTCATTTGATTGCTTATTTTGCAGGGGCGGATCTGGGAACCAACAAACGGGGGGGGGGGGGCAAATTTCAGATCAGAGAAAAAAACTAAAACCCAAAAGTGGGCCCAAATTTTGAAATTTTGAGGCCCATTTTCTTCAAAATTTGGCCTGAAATTAAAAAATAAGGCTTTTAAAGGCCCAGAAATGACCAAAAAGGCCCACTTTTTGGGGCCTTTTTTGGCCCAATATTTTTTCCAAACATTTAAAAGTTTACTGTAATCAGTCCATGGCTCTTGTATGACTACTTGTTTTCCATTTCAATCAATGCTCAATGGAATGAGAATAATAATCAATAAATCTTTCTCAACGATTTATTGAAAAATGGCATGATCAAGAGTTTCATAGGAAATCATGGCCTTCTAGAAGACACGTTTCTAATGTATCTTACAAAACAGAATGTGGTTTCCTTTCTAGTTTGAGATGAGTGAAAGACACCAATGAAAGCTTTTGAGTTTCTAAAATCTGAAGTAGTTTTTTTCAATTTCCCGTTTCTCCCTGTGATTGCCAGCGATTGTGATAGTCTGGGGATTGTGATTGTCAGAACAATATTGAATTTTTCAAAACAGTATGGAGATGCCGGGATTTGAACCCGGGGCCTCTTACATGCGAAGCAAGCGCTCTACCGCTGAGCTACATCCCCGACGACCGAAAATGTAAGATTCCTTAATATTTGTAAATAAAGCCATTCGAAATAAAACATATATGTGATTTACATTTTCATTGAATAAATAATGATAATCTTTTTATTACATTGCCTCCAGATATATCAATACGTAATATATTTGTTGATGTTAATGATTCGATTTTGGTCTGAGACTATTCCATCACATGACTGTCCAAAATGGCGTCAATGTCTTTTCAGGTAAATATTTGTTTAAATTATTCTTCTGTTAATTATGATACTTGTTCGAGCAAACATTATGTATCAAAATGCACAATTGGCTTCTTCTAATCATCCTCAAAACTTGTAACATATTTTTGATACCTATGCATTGTCGAGTATGACTATAAAATGAGGTTCTGTGTTGCTGATAATTTTTTTTCTATTTTTCATTTTGCCCAATTTGGGCAATTTGGGTCATATGCATCTAAAAGTAAAACCTTAAAAAATTATCAACCAAAAGACCACTATGCAGTATCAGGAGAAAAATGCATTCGTATTTTATGTGAAACACATTTGTACATCCTTGATTGCTTGTGGATTGGCCTATAAAAATGTGGCCTCTTGTATTTTGATGCTTCTCTGTGACAAGTAATTTTCAAAAAATTAATATGGCTGAAACTTCCTAATTTACAAGAGGCACATTAAACTAATTTTTCTGGAATAAACTAATGTTTTGCTTATATGAATGTATAAATATTTCCCCATATGAAACAGCACTTTGGTCTTTTGATCGCAATTATTGGGCCCCATCATTTTTGAAGTTTTATTGACACACAAACCATTGTCCAATTCATTGAAATGGACTGAAGTTCAGCCTAGATTATACTAAAGAAACTTGGTTAAAAAAGCATTATTCAAAATATTTCCAAGAATGGTTTAAGGAATTGTTCTTTGCAATTGAAACAGTATCTATTAAAATGTATACTCAGTATACTCGCTGTACATTGAATATACATAAAGTTACCAATTTAAAGGTTCAACAAAGCCCATCTAGAAAAAATGAACAAATTTTACCTTTTTCTGAGCTAACAGGTTGATGTTTGGTTTAACATCTATTCTTCCTTATTCTTATTTTATTAAAATGTATGGATGTGGCCATATTTATCAACCAGTAGAACTGACAAATTTTTGAAATTCCTAATTCACAATTTTTACATTTTGACTGAAGGAGCGATTAGGGGTACATTCCAACGTTGAATTCATAACATACATGTACATGTAACATTATCTGCGTTTATCTTCACCTATATGTTTGACTATTATTTTTATGTACAGTAGACTTGGCTTGTCTTTTCGACTGACACCATCATTAACAACTTTTTATTTACATACGCCATCTATCGATATCAGCGCTTAACTCGCTGGACCGCACAAGCACTTTCACAAGTTTTTTCATAATTTCCCAGTATTCATAGTGAGAAATGGCATATGTGAAGAAGACGATGAAATTGGTGAATTTTCTCTCCCTGTTACCTATCAAAAGATGTGTGTGGACAAGTTTTAGTTGCAAAAATAATAAATAGACAGTTTCTGAAGTCTTGTAACGTTATTCAAAGTATTTTTTCAACATGCCGGGATCATTGAATACAACTTGAGCGGAAATTGTTCCCACTTTAACCTTATCATGGTTTCAAATGAGACCATTTGTGCAAAGATACCTTTTGTACTTCAGGATATCTTTATAGGGCAGACTTTTATGTAATGCTGTTTTTGAGGTTGAGACAGTTGTTAAATTAATTGGAGTTTCCTGTCTTTTTCTAAGTCCATGAATCAAACCATAGAAATAGGCAATCAAAGGACCATAATACAATACTATTTGGAAAAATACATTGATACCTTAGATGCAAAATATTTGAGTATTTCGGAAAAAATAGTTTTAATTGTGCAGCAACCCTGGGGCCTCTCGTAATTTTGGGATCCTATGATTGCTTATTTTTATGTTTGATTAATGCCCAGAAAGAGTACATGTAGCATGTAAAGGATATCTACATGTACATCTGGGAATCATTTTTCAATTTTCAGGTTGCCATATGCCTTTCTGGGCTGCTCATAATTCTATGTGGTGACAATGTCTCATGCAGAGGTAAGTGATTTGTATACTTGTTGAGAGCCACACTGTCATTTTGAATAGAGGAAATGCATGTACATGTACATGATGTATAAACAATCCATGTATATATATATATATATATTCTTTTATTGACTCTTATATATGTCAGTCTCTCCGACACGTGGGTCACTATACAGTTATTTAAATGTGTTTTATATACAAATATACAGTCATAAGCAAAATGGAAAAATACAAAATCATTACATCATGATTCTAATGTAGTGTTGATGTATACATTCAGACTGGAAACACCTTTTCAAATAGGCTTGACAAACATGATTGCTACAAAATGTACATTCTATGTAAGCACTACGAAGGACTGTCAGGTTTTGGAAAAGTACTAGCACAAACTTCAACTTTACATGGAAACATTCTTATTAAGAGATACTTTGAAAAAATTGCACATAATGATATTGAGGAAGCCCTGGAACAACGTTTTGATTATCTTTTATTAAAATAAATTTTTAATTTGATTTCTCCATATACCAAATGTGACTGCTAATGTATCTCCTGACCATAGAATCTCTACTGTAGCCATAGAATTGCTATTGGGCATGGAAATAATACCAAATAGCATATGTGACGGAGGTAATTCATATATGTACTGTTAAAGGACCCAGACTCATTTGAAACCCATTGCATGTTGCCATATAAATCATGAAATAATGAGAAGTGAGCTAACACATGGCAGCCCAATTAATTAAATCTGAATGCATGAATAAAATTCAATTTCTTTGCAAATCAGCTCATTTCATAAAGAAACTTTACTTGACAAAATTAAATCAATAAAGCTTTAAAATTATTACTTATCTGAAAGAATAAAACCATGGATATTATTTCTGCAGCTGTCAATAAAGCTTGCAATTTTGCAAATCTGTATATTGCACTGAACCTGGAAACTAGAAGCAATGTGAATGAAAAGATAAATGTTTTGCCAACCAAATGTCACTACAGTTAACAGTATATGATTTTGTGATATCAATATTAGGCATACATGCAGCATCATAAAATATTTATAATATTTTTGTTTTACTTAGCAGGAGTGGCTTACTCAGCACATTTTCTCAAATTCCTCTGAAAAGAGAGCAAAGTTAATCTGAAGACACAATTTGATTATTTCCCTATTGAATTCACCTGGAAATTGCACTCTAGGAATTACATACAGTCTCTATGAATCATTAACATGTAACACTTTATGTTCTGGCTTAGGTCGTTTTTTTGTAGAGGTTGCTTATGCTAGATCTAATTCTAGGAACCCGACATTTAAGAAAATTATGCCTTCATTTTAGAATTCCCAACTCTTGACCACTTGGTGACAGATACCCCAGAACAGCAACAGGCAAAGGCTGTCATGGATATGATTGGTCGACTACTTCCCAACCTCACCAACAGTTTTTATGTGTCAGTGGATAAAAAGTTAGGACCTGTCAATAAAGACACCTTCCAGGTTTGAGATCAAATCCATTTCAGCATGATTTCTATTGAAATATATATTTTTTAATTGTATACATGTGCCTGTCATCACACTTATGTATTCAACCTAGACTAGACCTTTAAAAGTTTACTTTATTATTGTACTTTATTGTAGTTTAGGATGAATAATCATTATTAAATTAAAACAGTTAAAGAGTTTTCTATCTCCATGCAGATCTCAACTATGAGTGGCCAGCTACAAATCCAGGGCACTAGTGGAGTAGCTGCTGCCTGGGGCTTGCATTATTACCTTAAGTATTATTGTGGGTGCCACATATCCTGGGGAGGGAGACAGCTCAATATTCCCACCCCCATGCCTCGAGTACCATACCCTGGAGTGAAGAAGACATCAAATGATAGGTTCTTAGATACAATGCTTATTCCTTTCATTTCTTTGAATTGAGTACATCTACTTAGGAACAATTTTATTTAATTTTGTTCTGACAAAAAAATCAAAGTTTACATTTACATTAGTGTCTAATCATATCTTTTATGGCATTCTCACACATATTTAAATATGAATGTTGGTTCAGATCGACTGATTTAGCATCTTTTGTTTAGTTTCCATGTCATGACTCTAATACAATATGATGTCTTGTGCATTCTTATTAAATTCTTTCCAAATGCAAAATCTGATTTTTCACCAGGTTCCGTTACTATCAGAATGTGTGTACAGTGAGTTACTCATTCGCTTGGTGGGACTGGGCAAGATGGGAGGAAGAGATTGATTGGATGGCTCTCAGTGGTATTAACCTACCACTTGCTTTCAATGGGCAGGAAGCCATATGGCAAAAGGTATGATATCTCATACATTGTTAATTCATTTAATACATATACCACTAATATCTGATAGTGGTAAATTAAAAATGCTTAGCTTTGGTTTTATAAACATGAAAAACACAACATCACAAACTAATTTTAACAAATATTCAATGTCATGTAAAGCACTCACTAATGCATGAAGTATCAACTTTTCCTTATAAGCATGCTACATGCAAAATAAACCACTGTCTTCCTATTAAAAGATGTATAACTTCTCTCGACCATATTCACCCATTTAACAGCTGCAAATAGAGAGAACCAAAGATGCTTCTAAACATAAATTAAAAACTTTAAATGATTTTGATAATGTAGAGTATTTTAGTGTTGATTTCAATGTAGGTTTATATGAAGTTAGGCCTAACAAGAGCAGAGGTTGATGAACATTTTGGTGGTCCTGCATTTTTTGCTTGGTAAATATATTAGTTTTCTATTTGTACGAGGGGTGATCAGGAATTTCTGGACCGTTGGCTCTATTTTTGCCATTTTTATCCTTTCTTAGTGATTTTTTCACACAATATAACCCAAATATATAGGATCACACCATGAGTATTTCACTGTTCTATGACATCATTATCCTGTTATTTTCGTTACCATGGTAATCTGTAACGCACCAAGGTGGAGCTCAGGAAAAATACTAGAGTTTGAAAAATCAACAGTAATTTCATATGATGTTTGGACACTGTATTCATTGCTGAATATGTGACATACATGTACTGTAGTAGGTTGTATTATTTCATTAAGTATTTTCATTAATGTTCATAGTAGCTGTCATTATTCGTCAATTCTAATCCTTCAAAGTAGTTAGCATTATTTTGTAAGTATTTGTTATGCCTTTTCACCCAGTTCTGAAAGACGTGATACAGACCCTCTTATCCTACAAAATGTGATTGATTTCATCGGTTGTGGCCGTGTACCACACACACTGTATTCTCCAGACTTAGCTGGCTATGATTTCTATCTTTTCCCCACAGTGAAAAACAAATTACGAGGTATCAACTTTCACTGTTCCACAACTGGATGACTCTAACTGCAGTTAGCTTCATTCAAGATGGTGGACAAAATTCGTTCGTTTTCGATAAATCTCCAATTACAGCCAAACCAAGCTGAATCTTGATCCCAAAAGTTTCGCCATGCAAACTAAAAAATATATAATTGTAAACAACCACAAATCAAGGCTCAAGCACCCGCGATATTAGAGAAATTGAAAGAAAACGGCTTCACTTAGAATGACTCTAACTGAGGTTGATAAGAAGCTAACTCCAACACAGATTTCACCATTGATGACTCTAACTGAATGGAGATTTATAATGGGCTATACAAATTACCAATAAGCAGTTCCGTAACCAGGGGAAGCTGGAGGTTCGGTAGTTTCCCCCTCCCTGGCCAGAAATTAATTCCCGCAGGTTTTCACCACTCTGAGCACTTTTCGCACGATTTTCTAAACAAAACTATCAAAAAGCACCCCCCCCCCCGATTCAAATAGCACCGGAGAATATTATCATTCTAAATTGTAAGCGAATGATGGATAAAAAGGGTTTCTTTTATCGTGAAGCAACAATATTGTATACAATGATGTAGCAACCTGAATATTGAAGACATGCAGTTAAAGGCAATGTTCATTTTTATTTGTTCAGTCAGTGCATTATCAAAATAATATAAGTGTATACGGTTTACTAAATTATTGCTTATGACAGAATTCACCTTCTTATTATCCCTTTTTTAAACTTCGAACACATTTCCTTAATTAATTAGATTATTTGTGAGAGACTGTGTTTTGCCATACGCACTGGGCTTTGTCTTGTTATGTAACCACGTGACCACAGATGATGCCTTCCCATGGTACTGGTGGTTAATTGTTCTGTGTAAATATTAAGTAGTTGGTGTGGTGTATAGTGTTGGGAGTGGTGGCTTAGACCATGTCTTGAGACATTACCTTTTATGGACACGCATGGTCATGCAATCTGTGTCAATAGACTAGATGCGAGTAGAAATAATCTTGATTTACGTCATCAAAAATTCAAAATTCAGTCAAACTGATGTCATATTTGGAATCTACATGTAGCCTAGAATTACATCTAGAAATGTGGTTTTGAAAAGAGTTTATCAACTTTGAAAATTTAGTTTTCTTTGAAAATGTGAATTCTAGGTCGGGGGGATTCCCCATAGAGCCCATGTTGTAAAATCACAAAAAGTTAAATATCTTTTCTTGTGTTGAGCAGATAATATTTTCCTTTACCAGTTTACTGGACATATTTTAATTTGTATAACTATCAGATACATAAGGGTAGTATGAAAAATGAACCACTAAAACTGATGAATATTCAAGTTTAAGGGAATTTTGTAATACCCTGCCATGTTATTTCCCCCGACTCAGCCACCTGGTGGCGAAACTGGTAACTAACTACTCGCATCTGAGTAATTGGTTAGAGGTCTCGTTGATTGGACCTGGGAGATATGGTCTAGTATCTAAGTTTCCCCAAACCATTGTCAGTTCTTATGTGACAGGTAGAGTATATTTAGTTGATCCTAGGATGATGCCATTAGTGGTGACATCTCCTATTGTCATTAATGTAGAGCGGCCGGACATCTCGATCCTGTTGCGGATCCTCTCCCTTATATGTTGGTCATAATAAGGGCCCAAGATGTTTCGAACTCATGGGGGTATTCCATGATATGTTTCTCATCAGCGGCCAAAGAAAAAAGGTTAAGAATATAGTGAGGGCTACTTTTTCCTGTTCAGGTTACGCGTTTCGCGGGATTGTTATTGGTTTCTAGAGAATGTTGTTTTGCTGGGTTAGGTTTTGTTTTGGGATTGTCTCCAGTTGGAGACAGTTAGTTGGGTGCTAAGTAAATTGGTATCATAGTTTGGTTGTGTTTGTAGATTGTGCCTGATTGTATTTAATAGTGTAATTTAATTGATTTAGTATTGGGTTGTGACTGACTCTGTTACTGTGGTTGGTGTCAGGTTGTGTTGTAATGATTCAACAATGGGTTGATTTGAATTCGGTCTCGTTGGCTATGTTGTATTGTGTTGGTTTGTTGTTTGGTTGTGTTCCATTGTGTTAGTTTGATAGTCGATTGTGTTTTGGTGGTTGTTTGTCTGGTTGAGCCTGGATGTGTTGTGTAAGTTTGGTATCGGGTTGTGTCTCATTAAGTTATGTTAATTTCAAAGTGGTTGTGTTATGTTGTAATTGTGTTGTGCTGGTCGGTAGCGGGTTGTGCCCAGTAGGATGAAGTATGTGGTTGTGTCAGATTGTGTTGCGTGATTGGTGTTGTTTTCAGAGAGTGTTGGTTGGGTGTTTTTGTGTTCCAGTTCGGTTGTGCCTGATTGTGTTTTGATTGTTTTGTGTAAAATTGTGTAGTTCTTTGTCCATTATGGGTTGTGTTTTGGTTTTGTTGTTTTATTATTTGGTTGTGCCAAATTGTGTTGCGTATATTTGACAATTGGTTGTGTTTTCGGAGGTTAAACTAAGGTTGTAGTATTGGGTTGTGTCGTATTGTGTTGTTGGCTTGTAGTTGGGTTGTGTCTGGTTGTTTATTTAGCCTGGTTTCGAGTTGTGCCTTATTGTGTTATGTTAATTTTAAAATGCGTTGTGTTATGTTGTGATTTTGTTATGCTGGTCGGGGGGCAGGTTGTGCCCAGTCAGGTTAGGTATCTGGTTGAGTCCGATTGTGTTATGTGGTTGGTTGTGCCTGATCGTTAAATTAGGGGTGGTAGCGGGTTGTGCCCGATTATGTTAAGATAGGTGGTCGGTTGTGCCTAGTCGGGTGAGTTTATTTGGTTGTGTTCGGTTGTGTTGTGTGATCTCTCTGTGTTGGGGTTTTAGTTTGGTTGTTCCTATCCGTTGGAGTCTGGTCTCTGTATCTGTCTTCAGTAAACCTAAAATAAGAATACTGCAATGTTCCATGGTGGCGTTTTTTAATTACAGGTCGTGTAGACCATTCTTGCTTGACTAGCAAAACATTGACTTTCGGACGTTTGCGGCATTTCGCCTTTTACATCATATTCTTTAATCCTAGAATACTTACAATATTTTACCATACCGTAAGCCTATTCATTTGGCCATTCAATCGTAAACTAAATTTTGTCTTGAAAAAGTAAATTTTCTAGATTTGTTGAAATTTCTACCAGAATTTGTCTGCTCCCCCTCCGTCCAATTTCTACGATCACCGGCCATGGGATTGAATAGAAACTCACTCCATGTCAAAATACAAATGGCTACAACCAATAACAACAGTCAATAACATTTAGATATCTTATAACAACAGACAGGGCCGTCCATATATTCATCCCATTGAGTTAGCTTCATTCCCCGTTTCAGTTAGCTTCATTCCTACGTCATCACTAACTTCAGTTAGAGTCATTCTAAGTGAAGCCGTTTTCTTTCAATTTCTCTAATATCGCGGGTGCGTGAGCCTTTATTTGTGGTTGTTTACAATCATATCTTTATTAGTTTGCATGGCGAAACTTTTGGGATCAAGATTCAGCTTGGTTTGGCTGTAATTGGAGATTTATCGAAAACGAACGAATTTTGTCCACCATCTTGAATGAAGCTAACTGCAGTTAGAGTCATCCAGTTGTGGAACAGTGAACTTTGAGGACAGTAATGAGATCATTCGAGAATTCACACACCATGTTACAAAGTAGTCAAGGATGGCCTGTATCACATCTTTTGGGACTAGGTGAAAAGGCATAACAAATGCTTACAAAATGCTGGCAACTTCTTTGAAGGATTAGAATTAATGGAAGAATAATGACAGCTACTATGAACATTAATGAAAATACTAAATGAAATAATACAACCTATAATACAGTCAAATATTCAGCAATGAATACAGTGTCCAAACATCATATAAAATTACTGTTGATTTTTCTTTGGTATTTTTTCTGAGCTCCACTTTGTTGCATCACCGCTTACCATGGTAACAAAAATAATAGGATAATGATGTCATAGAACAATGAAATCTTCAGGGTGTGATCCTATATATATTGTGTGAACAAATCACAAAGAAAGGATAGAAAATGGCAAAAATAGAACCAACGGTCCAGAAATTCCTGATCACCCCTCGTACATATATTTGTTTTCATTTGAATCATTTGTTAAAATGGAATATCATAAATATCTGTTTACTGTCATGGGCGTAGGGCTATTTTTTGAGTTGGTACGCACTCGCTGATGCCTGACTGCGTGGCCAACGGCCGCGCATATTGGGGGTCGGGGGCATGTTCCCCCGCCAAATTTTTTTCAGAGACGTTATTTGATACAATCTGAGTGTTTTTTTAACTTTAGATAATTCAATTCTGACAAAACAAAATCGTTAAAAATACGGAGTTATCAGAAAATGTGCAAATAAATTGATGCATTTTAGCAAATTTTATTTTTTCCAATTCATTTGCAGTCTTCACCAAGGGTCTCAGGTCAAATGTAATGTCCATGGTAAACTGGCAAAAGCTCAGTTCAAGGCTAAAGCAAGCCTCCTTGGCTTCCTTCTGGCCCATATATCTAAGACACTTTCTCTGTTGATTACAAAATCGTCCATGTGGACATGAAATAAGCACAGTGCGTCGAATCTATCTTGAAACATTGATTTTAAAGGACCAGAAAAACAAAACGATATCGATGGATATGCTTGGACAAACTGTATTAATTGAAGATTACAAAATATAGAAATTATCTGGCTATCTGAAGAATTGCCTATTTACACAATATTAACAATCATAAATAAATACGCTTTTAAAGGCCTAGTTTTTGAAAAATCTTGAAACAATTGGTACACACGGGCATTCTGTGCGTAACAGGCGCTACGCCCATGACAAAAGGCAATAAGTTAAAAAGATGAATTAAACACAGTCGTCTCCACAAACATACCACTTGCTTATAACTCTCTATTTTAACATAACACTCAGGGGACTGCATTTACTGTTTTAAATCTTCAGGGCCAGGATGGGTAACATTCGAGGATGGGGTGGTCCCCTCTCTGACAACTGGCACCAACAACAACTGGCCCTCCAACACAAGATTCTCGAGAGAATGGCAGTGTTTGGAATGACACCTGTTCTCCCAGCCTTTGCTGGACATGTGCCAAAGGGCCTAACGAGGTAATGCCTGTACACATATATATATGAGCTATAGATATATTTGATCACCTCTCTGTTTTCATTTACATTATCAGTTCATAATATATATATTTCTTCTTTGTAGTCAAGTTTATTGCTATAGAAAGAGAGATGATTTAACTTGAGAAAATTTTGTTTGTAATGTCCTCTTATACTGAAATGTATATCACCATGAGAGGCACTCGCCTATAAGTTGTAAATTGTTTTCTCCATGGTTAACACTTATACTGGTATGTGATGTTGCTGAATTCCAGGCTGTTCCCAAATTCCAGTATAACTCGCCTCAGTGACTGGGGAGGATTCAAGGACCAATACTGCTGGTAGGTCAGCTTCAAAGATAGTCAACACAATTTGAATTCATTTAGATAAACATTTCTCCAGAAAAATATGTTAATTTTATTGAAATCCTGTTAAATTGCCTGCCTTCTTTGAGTCAACCATGGGCTTTCAACTAGAAGGGTAGGCAACTTCCCATATTTCATACATAAGCATTGCCTTTTGGGTTTTAAGGATTGGAGAATGTACACATTCCAAGAAAATCCTATTTTTTACTTTTTAGGGATGATTTAAAGAAATAACTCAAAAATAAAAACATGATCACCTACATACATGTTGATAATTTAATAAAAAATGGAATTCATCATAATTATGACAATACAGAGAGTGAACATTCTCCCACAAATTATGTTTTTATTGGAATGTGTTCTTGAATAATTACCCATGCAATACTCTTGTTTACTTTTACATGAGACTGAACATATTTTATGCTTTAATCATATTGAAAATTGATTTTTATTCAAAATAATACTAAAACATATACATTTATCAAATACTTTTTGAAATATTACCACAAAAAGGGAAGCATGGCACTGCTCATTTGAAGGTTTACAACACAGAGTTGCATACCCTTCTAATTGAAAGCCCATGAGTCAACAGTGTGTGAAATTCCCTGTCGTAAAATCTTACTTGCTCCAGTGTATTTCCTCAAAAATACCATTATACTACAAAGCTATATTTGCTCATTTACATGACAAACTACATTGTCGAAACCTGCATGTACATCCAGTTAGTTAGTTATTCTTATTTTCAGCACATATCTCTTAGACCCAAATGATAAGCTGTTTCAACAAATAGGAGGGGATTTTATCAAGGAGGTATGATTGTTTTTATGTGTTTTCATAGTAGATATTCATTTTTTATATTTAAATCTATGTAACATAAATACAGGTTATAATGGCTATGACCCCCAAAAAGGAGTATTAGGTGCCAAATAAACATGTACATGTTATTCAACAAATAAGATGAGAATTTGTCAAAGGTGCATGAAATTTGACATTTTAATATTAACATTTGAAAGTTGTATTATATTAACAAGTTCAATTTGATACATTGATACCAATAAAAGAATTATCAATTTAGGGAACATTTCATAATTATTTTGTACATGTTATTCAACAAATAAGATTGGAATTTGTCAAAGGTGCATGAAATTTGACATTTTAATATTAACATTTGAAAGTTGTATTATATTAACAAGTTCAATTTGATACATTGATACCAATAAAAGAATTATCAATTTAGGGAACATTTCATAATTATTTTGTACATGTTATTCAACAAATAAGATTGGAATTTGTCAAAGGTGCATGAATTTTGACATTTTAATATTAACATTTGAAGTTGTATTATATTAACAAGTTCAATTTGATACATTGATACCAATAAAAGAATTATCAAATTAGGGAACATTTCATAATTATTTTTTCCAGTACATCAAAGAGTTCAACTACACCAGCCATATCTACAACACAGATACATTCAATGAGATGACCCCCAAGTCTAGTGATCCTGCCTACCTATCATCAACTAGTAAAGCTGTGTATGATGCTATGATAGCAGGAGACTCACAGGCAATATGGTTGGTTAGATTTTGGTTATCCCATCAGCTGAACTAAGTTTATTTCGGAATATAGAAAATCTGTGCGTGGTTAAAATATCAAACTGAAAGATGACTGTCTGTTTGCTACTATGGAGGCTTATTATTTAGTTTATCTCAATTTAAATTATTTCATTTTTAGAACTTTTCTATAAAGGGCTTGTTGTGTTAAAAAAACTGTTTGTTTCAAAATGCTGACTATTTTTCTTGTGGAAAATCAGTTGCATGCAATTTTCATTCCTATATTAAGCTTGTCGTTGTCTATAAATCACATATTTTTTATCAGCCAAATCCTTAAAGAACTTAAAGCACTAGAAACATTAAATGTAATATTGATATTGTTTCCATGTTGTACCTGTTCATAGGCTTATGCAGGGTTGGCTGTTCCTCAGTGGATTCTGGAAGCCTCCCCAAGCTAAGGCACTTCTGACTGGTGTCCCACAGGTATGACATAGACACATACTCTACTTGATGCAACCATTGCAAGGATGTGTAAATGCAATCATTCCTATAGGCTCAAAAGTCGAAGATATGTTATTCACTGTTTGGATAAATTCACCATCCCACAAAAACAACAAATCAGTGATTCAACAAACTCATCAATTTAAGCGATTGATTAAGACTAAGATTTCTGGATGCATCATGATTACCTTGTCAGGCCCCTTCTCATAATTACTTTATATATTCATCTTGCAGGGACATATGATTGTATTGGACCTGATGGCAGAGCTGTCACCTCAATACCAGAGATTGGAATCCTACTACGGCCAGCCCTTCATCTGGTGCATGTTGCACAACTTTGGAGGCAACAACCAAATGTTTGGCAATCTTGAGAGCATCAATAAGGTATTGGAGCAAGAATGGAAAATACATATATTTTTTGCACTTAAATGTGCTTTCATAAAATGGGTCCCTCATTCATGTAATTTGAAATTGTTAATGAAGTAGAATGGTAGTAATGTAAATATCCCACTGGCCTCCGAGCTGATCTATTGATCCAAATCATAATTTTGTGGTACCACTTATTGAATTAGAACAGATTTCTTTACTCTGAACGTTTTGATTTGTAGGTCAAAACACCGAACGTGTCTTGTAACTTTTACATCATTAAAGTTGGATATTATTCTTGTAATTTCAGAATCCATTTGTTGGTAGAAACTTCACTGACAGCACTATGATTGGTACAGGCCTTACACCAGAGGGGATCAATCAGAACAACATGGTCTATGAGTTCATGAATGAGAATATCTGGAGAACAGAACCAAGGAATATCATGGACTGGTAAGTTGTAACTGCAATTACGGTAAAATTAGTCTCAAATGAATATTGGTTGAATTATTTGAAGAGTTCATATCAAGAGGTTTATTTTATTTAGATGTTCACACATGTAGGTATTTTACAAGGATTTTCTGATGATCTGATCTTTTGAGATTAGACGACTGATAACAGTACGCCTTCCTGGGTTTGAATACTTCTAGTCCTGTCTATTTAATGTGAATTCTTGGATAACATTTGATGTATACAATTTAGCCAGTTTACCTCTAGATAGGTGTACAAGTATATATTAGAAAGTGAATCTCACTCAGTTACTTTTGGTTTACAGCTACATATACAATTCTCATTTTGAGAGGTCAACAATAGTTTAAATCTACAGGGTGGTCCAAAAAAATTGAACACTTGTATTTCAAAAATAAATATTGATTTTATTTTTGAAAATATGTCATATTATATACCAATTGATAGGGGATTTACTTATCTTTAATTTGGTATATCATAAGTTCAAATTTATTATAATGTCTGTCAACCAGTGTCCATAATATAAATGTACATATACTTATTCATTTACACATATTTCTTGTATTACTTAGGGTTGCTGCTTTTGTGAAGAGACGATATACTGGAACAAATGATAACATTGAAAAGGCTTGGACTTTATTAGCGGTAAGTTAGACAAAAGAAGTAAAAACAAAAAAGTAACCAAAATTGATAAACTTGTTAACACTCATATTTGTTTAGACCTACATGTACATGTAGTTTCAGTCATATTTTAAGTTAAATTAATATTTATGCATAAATTCATCTTTAAAACTTTTTTATCTTTTCAGAATGTTTCAATATTATTTTCATTTTTTAGTTGGCACCAATGAAGGAGGAAACATAAGCTTAGATTTTAAATTGAAGTGGAAATCCATGTTTCTATGAAATATCCTCTAAAGTCAAAATGTTATTGGAGTCTATTTAATTTCTTCAAACACCATGAAGTTGCAGATCTGCAGATCAGTTGATTTTTCAGATTTACATTTGGTTTGCATGTTTTAACTTTATGACTATTTTGTTTGGAGAAATCTGGTCAATCTACATGTGCTTGAAACCTATGGTGTTAGGTATATTATGTATTATCCTGTGTGTCATTCTACTCTAGTCAGGTATATTGAATGCTACAGATGGCTTGAAGCACCATGGTAGGAAAAATGTCATCAGCAAGAGACCCTCAAAGAGACTATCCATTGATGTATGTTATGTGTGTCTTGCATGTGTGTCCAAACAAACATGTCTTGTGTGATTGATGTGATACCTATTTTGTTCTTCACCCATTGTGACATCTGTACAGTTGTCCTCTGCTCTTCTGGTTGAATTATACCATTTTAATCTCTCAAGCCAAGGTTCTCACCAGGAGAATCTCTGGAGTCTACAAGCCAAGTGAGAACATCCATCAGATGGCAAATGTATTTAGAAACTTTCGATCAACCATGGGTTAAGAGCAAAATAGATACAGTGCATAATAATAACCATGGGCCAGTGCTTCTTACATATAGCTTGCATCTTGCTATTCAAAGTGCAAAGGAGCATGTGGCCTTGCATTAAGTCCTTCATCTGTTTAAATCTCAGTTAGCTGCATCTTAAAGAGGCTCTATACCATAGGATAGCACAATCAAGATCCCTCTGGACCTTTTTGCATATTGAGCCTAACCACATATTCACCCATCTACTTACCAAAGAAGAAGTCTTAAATCCCCCGCTTTCAGTGTTAATTTTGCAATTGTGCTGACCGATCTAATTATTTTAACAGAAATTGATTCAATCTGAAGTTTAAATATACCAGGAAAATCCTCCTGTTATTTGATTGGTCATTGAATTTGTTTATCATGAACCTGATTGGCTGCTTGGTTCAAGGCGTGTTTGGGCGCTTGTGTGACTAAACGGGGATTCCCCTCGCTAGCCGAGGAATCGATTCTGTTTAATTCCAGAGGTTGGTTGTTCTGTTGATTACTGTACGCCGGGTATTATTCGCGAGCTTTAATTTCGCGAATTTTGCAAAAAAAAGGTTTCGCGGCTATTAAATTTCCCGAATTTCACTAGTTTGAAATTCATTATTCTCGGAATTCTCAAGCTAAATTACTAGTAGATGTACAGTAATTGCGACTTACCTGATGTCATAGTTGGATCAGATATACAATAACTGGGATCTTTATCATCGGCAAGTTGCATATCAACTTCTATTATCGCATCGTTAATTTCGGTCTTATTTTAAAACGAAAAAGCAGTTTGAATTCGTATTTTGTATTACTAGAATAGTAGTTATTCGAATTTTGTATTACTAGAATAGTAGTTATTCGAATTTTGTACTCACAACATCAAGAATCGTGAGAGTATCAATGTTGCATTCTGGGAGCCATTCTGGAGTTGCACAGTACTGTACTACTAATAGTAGTAATAACAAATTCCCGGGGATTTAATTGGCAATTTCGCGACGATAATCGCGAAAAGCGTGAAAGTTAATCGCACGCGAATAATACCGGGCGTACAGTATTTCAATGTTTTGGCAATAATATACCCATAAGTTATTCTCAAGATATATCCATGGTATGTGAGATATTATATAAGCAAACAAAGGGACATCGTTGATTGTCTGGGCGAGAAAGCTATGGTATAATGCATCTTTAATGTTTTGATAGAAGCCCTCTTTCTTTTTATCCCAACAAACGAAGTTCGGTAGGGATATAGTGAAGCCCTCCGTCCATCCGTCTGTCCGTCCGTCAGTCAGTCAGTCCGTCCGTCTGTCCGGAAGTTAACTCAAATACTAGTAGACGGATTTTCTCATATTTAGTGGAAAGATGTATATTGGTGTAAATTTTTCAAGATGGCCGCCGCTTTAAAAATGACGGGACTTTTTCACAAAAATCATAAATTTTTCATTCTGAACCAAAGTAATTAATATTATTGTTTGAAATTTTGGTAGTATATTCACAACATTTATCTATTTCACATGTATTCCGTGTTTTTCATCCTGACCCACAGGGGCCGTGTATGGGGGGACAGGAAAACAGAAATTTTCGCTAAATTTTAGATCTTTCTAAAGTATAGCTTTATTATACTCAAATGAAAGGCAATTAAGAGCAGATTGCAAATATTGTATCTTTTTTCTGATTCGAGCCTCGTAAAATTCAAAATGGCCGTCTAATGTACGATTTCGCAATAATTTTTCGATCCCTTCAAAGTATGGCTATATTATACTCAAATTGAAGGAATTTTGGAGTAGATCACAATTATGGTATTATTTTTCAGATTTGTATCTCAGAAAATTCAAAATGGCTGCTTTGCAGGAATTCGCAATTCTAAAATCTAATTTTTTCAATTTTAACCAAAGTAATGAGTATAATTGATTGGAATTCGCTAATTGATATTTTGTTCGTTGGGATTTGCTACTCCGCGGAGTTGCCATTATCTAGTTTTATAATGTGCTTTTCTGCTCAGCTTTTAAACTTTGAAGGAAGTGTCCCTAAAGTTGCTTAAATGATTTATTCCATTTACCATTTAATCATGTCATTCATTGTGCATATCAGAAAATATATTGCTTTGAATGAACCATCAGCATTACACCAGGGCAGAGTTCCTTCCCAGTTTTTAAACATTAATACTAACAATATTTAAGAGCTCAATACAACTGCAAAGTATTTAGTTATCTCCCTCTGTCTATACCCCTCTGCTAACATTATGCTACATAAGTATTAATTACAATCAATGTCTGCATGTTCTCCGTAGAACTCTGTATTCAATGGAGCTGGAGTCAAAGATGGTCCCCAAGGCATTCAGATCATTCTCTCTCCAAGACTGGACATGAAGCAGACAGTGAGTTGAGATGTTGTTGAAGACACTTCAACAGTAATATCCTTTTCAGTGTGTCTGATATTTTAGAGGCTGTATCTGCTTTTATAATTGGCTTTTAGACCCCTTTGAGTGCTTGTACTAATGAGATAACAATGCTAGTCTTGTATCTATTTTCTGACCACTTGGGAACCACATACATGAATATCCTTATGATTATGCCTTCTGGCTTTATGGTGGACATGGAGTTAGCTCTTGACGTGTTAGTCAACCACCAGGAGCTTAATGGGTTAGCAGTATCAAATTTGACAATATGGGAAAGCTGTACCAGTTTTGTTCATGGGCACAGTTTTATCACGCCAAGTTTACTTAACATCAGATACAGGCCCCCATTTCAATACCACCACCATACAAAATTGTATTCAAGTTTTACTGAAAAACTGCTTGTGGTTGACTGATGAGCAATTACTTTGAGCCACATTATGTGCAAATTGTGCATGTACCTGGTATACATGTTTGTGGAATCACTACATCACTACATGTATGTCATGCATACTAATCTAGTACTCAGTGCTGAACTGTACCAATGGGGCCACAGTAGGCCAAGATGGCATTCAAGTTATTGTGAGGCCACGACTTGATATCAAGCAAAGCGTGAGTCCAGATTTGTGTTGTAATACGCTCGCTTGCATGGCTTAGTAACAGTCCTGTAGCCAGGATTTGCCAAGAGGGGGTTCACACTTTAAAAAATTCCAGGGGGGTCACTTTTACAACTTTAGCCCAAAAATGGCCAAAATCACATGATAAGTGCTCAGAATGGTGAAAAACTGCATGATTTTGAAAGAATTTTTGGTGGGGGGGGGGGTTCGGAGGGTTCGGGCATAGCAGCAAGAATAATATAAGGCATCAATCAAATGTCTCACTGCTTGGCCCCATTTGTACATTATCAACATTGTGTTGGTTTCCTTTGTTATTATGTGCTTGTTACTCCATGGGCCAACCCTCAACCTATTGCATCGAGTGTTAAAGAACTCAGACAACAATCTTGTGCAGCAAATGTAATGTCATCATGGACTGAAAATTACCTTAAGGACAGGTGTTATAGCTGCTACATGTATTTAATGAGTTTTTTGTCTCTCGTGCAATTCTTTGGTTGTGTTACGTTAATCCCACGTTTCTGTATTTTGAGACACTTTTAGTAGCTGCATGTTTCATTTTTCTTGCATGTTTGCTAGAGTGGTATATTGAATTGCACAACAGGCTATTCCAACTTTGCAAGTCGTCAAATATTCAAGTCTCGTCCTAGTTTGAGCATTAAACCAGCGGTAGGTTTTAATAAACTTGTATATTTGTTTTATATAAGCCCTGCTATTAGATAAGCCATGGGATTAATTTAGATATCAAATCATGGATTTTATTGAATTTTGGATTTAAGCGGTTTTGATGTAATTGAACAAATCAGAATAAACTATGAATCATTTTATTTCAATGTTTATAATATCTGATGGCAGGAAGATTTATTGGTGAAAATATTCCACCAATAATTTCTTCACACCCTGTGTACAGTATTAAACACATATAGAATATCAGAAACACAACTAACCAACATTTATTATTTAGTCTAATGTACAAATTTTAGAAATACACATTTATTTTAATGTGCACAAAAAGATTCAGTTTAAGCGTATGAATTCTTTAAAAGGTAGTAAATTGCAACGTTGCCATAGTTACATATATTACATACATGTCATATTAGTAGATGACTGCATACTACAGAAATAACATCCACATTTCCTTCTAGGTGTGGTATGACCCTAATGATGTCCTAATGGCCTGGGATAACATGATCATGGCTGCTCAGTCAAAACCATTCTCAATGAGCAAACTGTTCAAGTAAGAATATATGACACTACTATCATTCCTTTACACATTGATGATGATTTGTTTGGTAAAGAAAGATTACAAACTGTAAATGCAATCCCAAAGCTATAATAAACTGTGAATCATTTTGTAATGGCTGTATTCATATCCATTTTAAATAAAGAATTTTTGGTGTCTTTGAAATATGCTTATTATACCCTGAAAACATCCTCTAAGTTTATATGCAGTGTTAGAGAATTCATCTACAGGGTTTTCTCGCTTACCAATTTGATTTTCAAATTTCATACTATGGTAATCTATAATGGGGTTCATTACTAGAAGAATTTCTTAAATTAAGAATTTTGGAGTTTGTCTCTAATGCCTTGGTCACTTTTACTCGATTTTCACTACGGCACCTGGCTTATTGAGTATTTTGCTCAGAAATGTATTCAATTTTGAACAAAATACTCAACCGGCCAGGCGCCGGCCGGTGAATCGCAGCAAATGTGACCCAGGCATTACAACTATGACATCATGATTTCCATGGTTACAACAATAAAATGAATTTTAAGTAGTGAGGAATGTTGTGGTATTGAACCACTGGTTTCTTTATCCCTGGTTTCATTCATGCTCAGAGATTTGTGATCAATGTTACATATTTCCTTTTATATATTTAGGTATGACTTGGTGGATCTGACAAGGCAGAGTCTACAGGTTATCTCTATACAGAAGTACACAGACCTCATCACTGCCTACAAGAACAAAGATCAGGATGCCCTCCTGTAAGGCGTTTACTATTTTTATCGCACCTTGAAAAATGAGATATTCTCATTGTTCTGTACTGCTGGACAGACTGGCTGCATTACATAAATTTTGTCCAAATATTCCACGCAACTACCCTGCGCGCAGAGTCTAGTTATGAAGTACCCTCTGCCTAGTATAGACCGTATTACAGTTTAGTAGCCCTGCCCCAAAGATTGGTGCCTGTGACAGTCCGGGTAATAAATCATTTTAAATCTACCACACTGACCCTTTCTCGACCAATCAGTGAAGTGGAAGGAACACATGCTAAATATTATAAATACGTGTACTGTAAAATTCAGTCATTCTTTTATGTGAATCTCGAATATGATTGTGTTTTAATGTATTAACAGGGTTGTATTTTAATGTACTGTATTACCAGGAATGCGATAGGAGCCCTACTTGACCTCCTAGAAGATCTAGATCAGGTGCTTGCCACAGATGAACATTTCATGCTTGGCAAATGGCTTGCCTCAGCTCAGGCTCTGGGAGTCAACCCAAAAGAGAAACAGCAATATGACCTGAATGCAAGATACCAGATAACTACATGGGGGCCCAATGGTGAGGTAGGTTACTGAGGCTGCATTTTCAGATTTTTTCAAATTAAAAATTAAAACTACAAAATCTTGCATTGAATGAATCATTGTGGGGATCATGTTTTTTTCCTTTGGATTTCATAAACATTGATATGTTAATGTTATATTATTGTTATAGTTCTCTTGGTGTGAGTAATTTTATGAAGATTAAACCCTTTCCTCCCTTTTGTTGCAGCCTATTATGGTCGGACATTGAAATAATGTCTTATATGTGCAAGAAGAATAAATACAAAGATATTTTGATCCAAGTTTTTTTTGTTTTATTCTGATACAGTAAAACCTGGGTATATTGAACATTTTTTGCTGAGAAATATTATTCAGTGTTGGTAGGTGTTCAGACAGGTGTTCACTAGAGAGAGGTGTTGACTAAGACAGGTGTTACTGTAGCATGAATACCATTTTGAATGAATTAATAATACAGCTTTTCTTTTTGTTAAGATTCTGGACTATGCCAACAAACAATGGTCTGGTCTTGTCATGGATTACTACAAACCTAGATGGCAATTATTTTCTTCATACCTCATGGATTCAGTGTCAAAGGTATGATTCTGAGAATAAAAACAAAGACATGAATAGAATGACAGAGGGTTGTGATATTTTCAGTCTGTGTCTTGTTTGTTAAAACAGTCTACTGTATTTGTCTCTTATTGTGCACATTGGATTATGTTGTATAGTGTGCCATTCTATTCAATTTTCAAGAAAGTTTTATTCATGCTCAAACTAGTGTGAAACTAGTATGCACCAACATTCAGTCAGTTCCAAAAATGCTGAAGTTTATCTCCAAATAAGACAGAAGGGTGAATGATACACACCATGCCAAGTTTCAAATGATATTATATTGTAGGCTTTGTCAGATAATATACCTTGCTTAAAATTGGTATTATGTTGTAGGGTGTGCCATATAATGCTACAGCATTTAGAGAAGAGGTGTTCCAGAAAGTAGAACTTGCATTTGTTCAAAATGGCAAGACATATCCCATCACTGAGACAGGTAGGTGTAATAAATATGTTTTCAGCAATGATGTAATTAATAGGACTCCATTGCTTTGTACGAGTATGATACATGTATCAGGAAAACGTAACCTGAATTAAAGTATTGGGAGATTTTGAATATGAACTTCTTCAATCACAGAAAATAATCCACATATATATGTATGTTGTCAGTCTAAATTTCAGATAGGAATTGTTCTGCCCCCCCCCCCCCCCCCCCAGTTCTCATCATATTATTCTTTTACATTTTTTATTGTGTGATCTCCTTACATGGCAATGTTTTGTTATTCTGGCTAATTTCTCCCTGTTATACCTTCTATTATATCTTTTTCAACCATTATTGTATTTGTTTCCAGGTGACTCGTACCAGATCTCAACAACAATACATTCCAAGTATCGACCAAAGACACTCACAAGGTCCAGCAAACTCTACTTCAAGAAACTCCCTAAGCTCACAAGAAAGGGCAAGAAATTTGTGAAGTTTGCCAGGAAGTTCCAAATGCAGTTTGAAAATGTAGGAAACAGTGTTGATATGGTATACTTGTAAACTGCCTAATATGATGATACTGAACATTCTATGCAAAATATTTAGCTCATAGTACTATTGTATCTTTGAAAAAATTGTTATTTGATACTATGCATGAACAATTTGTTCAGCACAGTCATTTTAATAAAGGAAATTAAGGGTTACTGAGTGTGATCTATTCATGCCAATGTTTTCCTTGCAGTCATTAATTTAGTTATTGAAGTTATTGGACATTGAAGATTCAGAAATTCTAAATTCATTAGAATTGAAAAATCTGTTTTTGCAGATAACCACTAAAAATCGAATGATTATGTGAAAGTCTTAACTGTTAGACGTTTTAGAGAATAGCCATTTTTTCTGTATCCCTTTTACTTCCTGTTAGGACTTAAGCAGTGCAATTTTTGAACAGATCTTGTACAGATTTGATAAACCTGTCAAATATGAACATTAAATCATTATGTATGAATATATAAAGATATATAGTACTATTATATGCACCAGGGTTGGCTAATTTTACTTACATACATATAGATGTTAACCTTATTTGTAAAACTATATACAACTGATAATACCCTGCATGCAAAGTCTAGTTATAAACTAGAAGATGAAGCTCTCTTTTAAGAAGTGACGTTGAACAAATGCAAAGGGTGCAACTGATATTGCCTGTGATACTCAACTCATACAATAAGAGATGGTGCCCAAATATCAAACGTTGTTGAAAAAAAGTTAATTTCATTAGTGATAAATGCTGATTTCTTGAAAAGCAAATCAACAATATCATATTTCATTATTGTTGAGAGGGGAGGGTGTACAACTGCTAGATTTGGACGGCAAACTTTATATTGCCATTTACATGGTTTTAGTGATGTGAATGTATAAGAAAAAGTCTCTCAAAGTAAACATTTTGCATTTAAATATATTTTTACTAAATTGATATTTTTGTACTTCATTTTTTATTTGGAAGGAAAGATAAATACTCGAACGACCTCAATTGATTGAATTTTACAAGTAATGATTTTCCATTGATCAAGTATTATTGAAGATAATATTTTTCTTGGAAAATGAAAATGATAATACTAGATAATATTGGAGAACAGCATAATAGTAGTACTGTAGTATCGTAAACGTTGTACATTTAGTAGTACATTATCATATTCAGAGACATAACGCAGAAAATAAGTAGTTTCTATTTTGTGAAAGCCATTACCAGCTATAAGCCTTGTAACAATGACAATTGAGGAATAGTGGTGGATCATGAAGGATGTAGTTCTGTTTTGTTAAAGCATGTCTTCTTATTGAATTTTGCAGTATGGACTGTTCTCTATGTATATTGTCCATGAATCATGGACTTACAGACCATCTGCAATTGTCTATTTGAAAATGTAATATTGTAGCAGTTCTTCTGTGCCAAAGCTATGCCATGCAGCAGTATACAGGGAGAAACTTGTATTTTAATAGGACTTATTAGTCATCATTAGTAAAAATAAACACCAAACATATGCACTATATCAAATAATATTTTATTTAAAGTATATGGTAAAAGGGGATATCTGGATCTCAAGTATGTCTTTCCTTATACATGCCTTGAATAAATCACCAAAATTGGTCAAATCATAATAAGAATATAGAGAAGTAAGAATATTGGACAAGAGCAAATACCCATGGACCAGTAAGTCTTAAATCCTTTCACTTGTGCATTTATGTATCATATATCCTATCCATTCTAACAAAACATTTTTAACTAAATAATGTTATATATTTAGTTAAAATCATAATTAACAGTTCCAATCTCAATTAGGGAATCATTTATATTCAAGTATATAACTCCTAATGATGGCCGTATCCGGGGAAAGGCTTGCCACATCTACCAACATTGTCCTGGTATAAGCAGAACCCACGTCCCCATTCATCGTTCATCGTTCCCTTGGCACACCACTGTAGGAAGCTTCTACCACCGTGGCACTTCACGAAGCTACAGGCGGGTACGGCGTAGGGGAATTTAGCGCGGAAGGCGGCGTCAAGGTTATACTCCATGTCATCTCGTCCCTTGCAGGGGTCTAGAAGAATGAAAGTAATTGCGTTACATAGATTGAAACATTCTTTAAGTTTTGGGTGATTTACCGTGGTGCTAGAAAGAAAGGAGCCGGATGGGGTCACTGGGGTTACAAGACTAGGGAGATGAGACATGGCGTCATAAACTTGAGAGAGAATGAGATGTATGATCAGGAAAATTTGATAAATGAGGTAGGGAGATGGGGTAAGCGTAATCTACCAAGAGGAGCTGAAAATTGGAGTGATGGAATTTCCGAAAGAGTCGGAGAACTATCGTAACAATGATAGAACGAATCATCAGTCAAGATATTAGGCAGATAATATTGGCATTTTAAAAGTGACCTTTTTCGTTTTGTTATAGCCAGGATGGCCAGTACTTCATCCAAGTATGTAGTACTATATGGACAAAAAAATTGTCATTTTAAAAGTACTATTTTTTCGTTTGTCACTATATCATGACATATATAATAACGAATATAAACCTGATGATTTCAATGAATTTTGGCATTATATTGTGTTTTTATTATATGTATCGCGAGAAAAAAGAACAGATATTAGGCTAATTATATTTATGCATACCATAACCATAATGATGTCCGTGGTGAGATCCATGGTGTCCGTGAGCTCTGTGTCCATGTGAATGATGTGCGTGGCCATGAACGTGATGACCGTGACCATGAACGTGATGACCGTGTCCATGAACGCTATGACCATGAGCGTGGTGTCCGTGATGAGACCTATGAGCAGGGTCTGCGAGAACACATCCCACCAAGGCAATGCAAAGCACAGCTAAAACTGACGAGCTTACCATTTTCTGCAAATGAACCAACTAATCGAGAAGACCGCAACGCAACTGTTGAGACAACGAAGCTCATATTCATTTTTGATTATAGCAACTTTATATCAAACCATGTTTAACTTTGTGTTCTGGAAACCTACAAACTATATTTTTGAAGTTACGTTACACGTCACGAAACATTTCGCTCCTGAGTCTGCGATACTCGCGGTAGGACCTTCCTTAACTTACAAGTAACCAAACGCGAAGACTACTGGTATGTCTCTGATGAATTCCTGGTTACTAAACATACGATACATAATGGTCAATTTAGTTACTTACCGTTTCACGTTAGGCCCCGATTGATCAAATCAATTGAAATAAATGAAAATACAATGTGCATAAACATTTCAAACATTACGTAAAGTCATCTGCATTTTTGACGAGCCTCTAATTGATATTAAGCCCTTTGGACAATGTGAACAATCCCAAAGTATTCGAGGTGCAGCAATTGTTAGTTGCCAACTGCAATGTGATTTTGATATAATGAAAATAATTTCTTTGCCCTAAGCTTGGTAAATGCACTGATGTATTTTTAGTTTTTTGTCATCCTACTATAAGGATGGTATTCAGTTGCATACTTAATGATTTAAGCCATGGACTCAGTTCAATGTCGAAAGACCATTCCTTGAAAATGGTGCTTCCCAATTTGCACGAGAACGCAGCATTGAGTATTAATTTTAGGAAACAATGCCTGAAAAGAATGGTCATTCCACAATGCATCTCTGAGTCTTGGGCTTAAAGCTAAGATCACACCAATGGCGCTTTGATAGTGCTTTAAAGCGCCGTGCAAAGCCGATTTGCACGCCTCTTTATAAAGCGCCATCAAAGCGCCGTTGGTGTGAACTAATTCACACATTGCAAAATATTCTCTACCATGTCACTAAAGCTAAGTTCACACTAACGACGCTTTGATGGCGCTTTAATGCGGCGTGCAAAGCCGATTTGCACGCCGCATTTAAGCGCCATCAAAGCTCCGTTGGTGTGAACTTAGCTTAAGTTCACACCAACGGCGCTTTGATGGAGCTTCAAAGCGCCATGCAAAGCTTTAAAGCGCCATCACAGGGCCGTTGGTGTGAACTTAGCTTTAACAACCACACAAAGAGTCAACCTTGGATGCGGTGATTGTTGATATAATGCGCTGCAGTTATATGAAATACTAGGTTCAGATTAGCTGGAATTGGACACACCTTGCCTAGCTAGCTATTTGTGAATTTCACAAAATAGTGTGTCAAATGGATGGCATGTCTGATTATATGGTCATACTGGCCATAAGAAAATACAAAAACGGCATGTCTGCACCATTGGCTGATCAATGCATGTTTTCTATAGTTCTACAACATGACATCACAAGAATCATCCAATCAAAAAAGTTATAAAAGTGATTGAGCGCGGGCTTTTTGAATTGTTTTCAAACTTTTTTATTAGCTCATAGCTGCTAAACTCTTGGTTACTTTTGCAATAGGATAAAGACGGCTTAGTCATAATGTCAATCTAATCAAATATGGAACAATGTTTTTAAAAAGGCATTTATTTCTATGTACTCACATATCTACTTTTATTTACAGTTTCAATGACATTCACATCGTTAATGAAATACTTAACTGCACTCAATATGTTTACAGTATAAATAATATTATTAAAACTTAAATACGATAACGAAATGATATAAACCAGATATTTTCATATTTACATTTTTACAAGCTGTGTGTACAAAAAAGGTTATATAACCTATTTTCTTGATATATTAATACATTTTAAAAACGCAACTGAATACGAAATTGTTATTTTCTACTAAATAAATCGCGTCTTCAGTTGCGTAATGTCATACACATGAACTACGTGACATGCAGATATAATCTTCAGTATTTAGTATTTACTGGTGACTGCAGAACTTAAACTTGTAAAAAACAACTCACTATTTATGCTATTAGATTACTCATTTTCACTAGTAGATCTACAATAGATAATGCCTGGGTCACATTTGCTCCGATCTATCGGCCGGCGCCCGGCCGATTGAGTGTTTTGCTCAATATTGTATTCAATTTTGAACAAAATACTCAATCGGCCGGGCGCCGTAGTGAAAATCGGAGCAAATGTGACCAAGGTATTAGCAAAGGATAATGTTACTTTTTGAATCAGCTATCTTTTATTTCAGTGTGAGCTTCCTGGAAGGCTCATATTATACTAATTTCAGTTACATTATTTTAAATGGGAGACAGTTTCTAATATTTCAGAACCCATGAAAAATGTAGTCATCCGAAATGTGTTACGTATTTGATACTGCGTATTTGGTTCTCGAAGATAGGCCTAATGTTACGTATTTGAGACTGCGTATTTGGTTCTCGAAGATAATGTTACGTATTTGAGACTGCGTATTTGGTTCTCGAAGATAATGTTACGTATTTGAGACTGCGTATTTGGTTCTCGAAGATAATGACATTTTTCTGGACGTACACGTACGATGATGGTATTATTAAAAGGTCGTCGAGTCAGCAGTTCTTCGTCGCAAATATTTTTTCAGTCGACATCAAACGACATGTCGTACTTTGCAGGCACTTTTGGAGTATACTTAAATAATTCGTCACTGACTACTGATATGTTGGGCACGATCAGCAGTCAGCACCAGCCACGTGGCACCAATGTCTGTTGTTTTTCGTCAGTTTGCATAGCGTGTGTGCTCTATCGGTCGCAGGGTAATCTCTGTCTAGATGTATGGAATGAGGATGGATAAGTGGATGAATTTCACGTTTTTCATAAACACGTGTGTTCCTCTACTTCTCTCTGGCATTCCTTACATTTCACATAACAACACCAATGAAACTTGCACATGCATCTCTCAGTCACTGTTTTAACACGTGTAGTGAACCCCCTTCCGCAACACATTAAGTCACAACCGTCTATAGCTTTAGATGCTTTACTGCACAACCGTCCGCTTGTCCCTATTGACCCTGTATGTGGGTCCATCTCACAATAATCAGGAGATGGGACTAAATACACCAGGTCGGAACCTGTATGAGGTTTGAACTGGGGATTTTTAGGTAGAAGCTGTCTTCGTGTTCCAATCCGTCTTTGTTCAACCTCTGTTGCGCCATCAAATTTCTCCTTCAGCTTTTCACCCACAGTTCTAAAAGTGGGCATTGCCCTCCAGCAGGTTTTCAGCTCGCATGTACCCGAAACGCCGTGACATTTACACTCCACACGCATGTTGTCGTCTATAACCTGAAAGCACAAAGATGGCACATATTAATAATTTTCAACAAGATCAAGGGTCATCAGGTAAAATCATAGGTTCCGATTGTAAAGTAGAACAATATATACGCTTTTAAAGATGGCAGCTCTCGTCATCTCAGTGGAACTGATGAGAGGAATCAACCAGCCAGATCCTTCTAGAAAAGAGAAAACTATTTACTCGAACAATTCAACCACATTGTTCCAGAGCTGAAGAGGCAGAATTGATGACGAATCCAGTATTGAATGCATCAGACACCGAACCCCGTGAACAAGAACCATCCTCCAGAAAACATGTAAACACTGGCGAAAACGAAATAAAATCACGCCTGGAGGACCGACCCAGCTAACCTTTACTTATTCAACCTTAACCATCTGTTATATTCGATTCCGACTTCCTAATGAAGTTTCTATATTTCAGGGTATCACCGACCTTGATGTTTCAGGGTCATTACAGTTCGGAGTACAGACATGAGTTTTAAACAAGACCTGGATTAATCAGTTACTTCAATAATACTCATTCGTGCGTTAAGTCATCAGCTTTGTTAACACCCTGGTTTCAGTACTCAGTTTTGATTGGTTAATTAAAAGTCAACAATACACCGACAGTTGACCGCTACGGTATACTGTTGACCGCTACAGTGTACTGTTGTCACTGGTAACTTTTGTTGACTGCTACCGGTGAACTGCTGGCCGCTACTGAAACACCGCTGTTTACCGCTAACTATAATGAATAATTTTGGTTGATCTAAGGATTTCTATTGACGTCAAATAATTTCGAAAAACTAGTGATAGAGTTTGTACTATTGACTGATAGTACCTATGATGAAGTAAAACTGACTTCACTTGCTTAAGTTCCCCAAGTACGTTGCCTTCGCACTGAATTACGTTCATAAACATATGCTCACTTTAAACATTTGTCTACGTGAGTGTATGTGGACCTGTTGAGCTTTATTTCAGTTTGTTTAAATATATCTTACTTATTTGAAAATGTACAGAACGACAAATAATTCTACCGTCGCAAATGAGAACAGCAAATGTGGCAGTGTCATCCTCACGCTCAGTTAAACCGTATATGATCTTGTTTTGACCCCGGAGCACGATCCCCGAAGCATACGACAGATTTCCTGATAATCAAATATTTTTTTCATTCTTCAGAATTGTGGAGGGGGATCACGAAGAATGGTACTGAATGGCAACTTGTAATCTTAAATAAGATAGCACCGTGGCACTCTGACTTTTACAGTTGTATTTCGTCAATGTTGGAATTAAAAAAAATTGCGGTTATTAAGATTTAAAATAAGTCAAATTTATTGAAGTGTCACTTAGGTAAAGGTCGACATTTCTCAAAAGGACTATGATAAACGACTAGTTTCTGTAAGAAGGACTAATACACAGGTACGGGAAAGTCATAAATCAGTTTTTCATATAAAAATCTAAAATTAAGGTGTAAATCCTGTTTAAAATGTCAGTGTCAGTGTTTGGGTTTGTAAAGGTTTTTTCGTGTGCGAAATTGTGGCATGTCTAGATGATAAATGATGCGGATTTAACTTTATGACTCCACGGCTTTGTTGGTTTGTTCTCAGTTTCAGTTACCATCATCACACGTGTAATGTCTTGTCTAACGTGTACCTGCGTATCATCAATTTAGCGTTACAGCTATGGCATCTTGTTTCTGTAAATCTGTTGATATAGAACATAGAAAGGGGTGTCAGTTTTAATGTATAACAGTACTCCCTATAATCTATATGGCATTATCAACGAATGTATCATGGCGTAACCTCGTCAAATCTCCCCGAATTATGATAAGGCGGATAAAGGTAAGTCAGAACCACATGACGAGCGTTAGGCTGTCGTAAATTTAAAACAGAGCCTTAGAACTATAAGAGATTTGTCAGCGCATTTTTATTCCACAATTAAATACCTTGGAGGTCCATATAAAATGCAGCAGTATTTAGATAAAATAAGAATGAAATAGCTGTAAAATTGAGCTAATGGATGAAGGCTCTATTGATAGACGATATATCGGTAAAGGCACGTCTGTATAGCAGCTCTATAGAGGGAGAATCGCATTCTAACGATACCAGCATCTTCAAGTACCCTACTTTCCTTCATAAGTGAAGAGCAAAAAACATTAATAACAAATTAACTCAAAATTCTATGAGCATTTTATGAGAATTTCGAGGATTTCTTAAGGTACTTGCCATAGATTTTAGAAACCTCTTTGAAGCAGTCAAAGAAAAAACCGCAATTATGACCACGAACGAGTTGTTCGGTAAAACGATGGATCAAAATGAGCAGACTTTATTCTACCGGGGTCTCATATATTTTATTTAAATTACATTATGATTTATTTCACCAAACACGTTTTTGAAGGTGGGAGTTCGGTTATCTTGTGTGTTAGTACATCAAAATGTGATCGCCCGAGAAGAGATAAAACCACGAGTTGTTTGATTGATAAAAGTGACTATTAAAACAGTAATGGATGACCATGACTGATTTGACAAATCAATGATCACTGGCATATCTTCAGAAACTCTTTTTATGTTCCAAATCAGTTTTTAAATGGTTATTCGGCATGAGAGGGCGATGTACCATATTTATGGTCTTCAGCTATATTGCTAACTGCATTCATTAGTTATCTAAATGTGACTTTTAGACCTTTATTGCTGCAGAAGAAGCGATGGAGCCCCTTGTACATGCGAGTAAGATTGGAAGGAATGATACTCAGTCTATAGCAATAATTTTCTACTTTTTGAGTATCTCAAATGAACCTACAGTTTTGGTGCTGATGGTATGATCTCTATGACCGCATTGGGTATTGAAATGAATATCAGTCACGTATAGTCAGATCCAAGTTAATCTGATACCCATTTAAACTGCAAAGTTTTTTTGGTAATTACGTATTCTGATTTGATATACTTGATCAAAAAACATTTCTACTTTAAGATACAATGTACAGGCAAACTCCTATGTTTAAAATACAGTGACAGTCATACTTTTGTAAATGGTACCTGGACAATTAAAAATGGCAAGATTGCAGGAGAGAGTTGCCCATTTTAAAGGGACCTTCTGTATATTATGGCTTGAAAATCAACTGTTATGTTTGGGAAAAAAAACAGTTAGACATTTCTTAAATCAACTACCTTACTTACATTTCAAAAGGAATTGGAAAACAATACCAAAATACATGGTTCAACCGAGACTGTAAATAAGCGATTGCTTGTTCTTAAATTCCCCTCTGCCCATTCTTGACTCCCTTTCTTTTCTAAACAATCTGAGAGAATTTATATTTTTCTGAATTTCTACACATCACACATTGGTTTTTCTTTGTCTGTTTCCTTTATGTATGGCTATCTCCATGTTTTAAACTCGTTTTTGCATTTCAAGACTAGATGTCATGTTGTTTTTCTCGAGGGAGACGGGTTGCTTTGGCAGGCTATGGGTGATATGATCTTTAATGTTCTATAAGCATTTGCCACTCATTTGTCATGGCTGCCTTCCCGTGCTGACTGATCCCTGACACATTCCCTCAATGAACGCTGTATTTCCCGGATCATGTTTGGAAATAAGTCCAGATTTGTTTGTAAATCCCTCTTAGCTTGAAACTGCCGATTGTTATTGAGAAACAAACCAGTTTCTCATATGTCAAAACCTGGGTTTGAACGTAAAAACAATTACAATATTGCCAACGATTGATGGAACACAGGGATCTTGCATTGGGATGTATGTCACTAATTGACATTCTAAACACGTACATAACATAATTGATAATCAATTTACGAATGGGATATATCTCATCTATGTCACACATGGACATAGAGTATGATCTGCTAAATACATCATTGGATCCCATTTACTTTCTGGTCCCTTAAGTGTATTAGCCTCAGAAACAGTCATTGACAAAGTCTGTATTGCTTCCTTAGTTCTATTGAATCTGCATGAACATCAAGTAAAGGTTAAACGTTTTTAGTTTCGGTTCATTTCTATTAACACGGTTTTAACATAAACAAAGTTAGGGGAAGCTTATCCGAAGATGCTTATAGTCATAGGAGTGATACGTCTGTACACATTTCCAAGTGAATGCGTCTTTTAGTACTTCCTACTTTTACACAAACCAAGTACCAAGACCGTTAATCATTTCATTTTACCTAAACAAGACGTACCTGTTTTACGGTCTACTGGTGATGAAAAAACATTAAATGTAGACGAACATGTACCCACAAACAATTAAATTATTTCTGTCAGCCTAAATTTAGATTTTTTTAAGAAACAGTCAATATGTATCTGCCTATACCGACAAAAGCAGCATATTAACGACCGTAAACACTTTTCTCAATTGTTCAAATGGCATTGCTTCAATCATGGATATTGTTGCTGGTGCATATTGCACCAAAACACCCCAAATTCCTTCAAATTAAAATTGCAGGAATCTAAAAAGGATGAAATTTAACGCATGGCTGAGACTCATTGGTTAAAAGTAGTTTGGTGTTGAATGATCGGGAATTAGGAATGTTGTGATGTTCGTTATTTTATTTGATAAACAGGACGGGAGAAGTAAGGCGAAAGCATTATAACCTTTCGCTATTTTAGACCTAACGCATTTATCTTAATTAAAGAGCCATCAGATGAACGAAATTATCAGTTCACGAGGCTAGATAGAGGAGAAACAATACTTAATTTAATTAGCTCCTACTCTGACTGACATCAGACCAGGTGGAATGCTAGATAGGAGCATCATCTATCAAACAACCACTGATCTAAATGCAACAGACAATTAATAAAGTACAAATGAATATTTCAGTATCCGGTAGCTAGGTTTGTATGTGGGTTGTGAACCGCCTTCATCAGCAGAACCGTCTACCTACACGCTAATAACTACTTCTGTTAATGGCCTTATAATACATAGGGATAAATCCCCGGGGATGAATCATATAGCCAAGATTGGACAAATTATTTGCCGATTTTGCCGCAACATCTTCATTTTTCAC